ATATAGTGATTGGCTGTCTGGGTGAGGTTGAGGGGCAGCACGTGGTTTGAACACTCCAGTCAACATTTCCATGGACAGAGACACTGCCTTTCAGTCAAGCTCTGAACTTCACCCTCTCAACTCACCACAGTAGAGACACAGATTAAAAGGAAGCGATAAAAGTGTGTGTTCTGTGTGTGTATTCAGGAGTGTCACAACTTCAACATTAGCATTCAGAAACGCCTCCAATTGACCATATATGGTAGCAACAATCTCTTCAAGAGAGGAACGCACTTTGTCCTGTATTACCGCGAGAATCAGAAACTACCTGTAGAGGGAGCTGTAACAAACCAAAGCCTAAACAAACCAATAAAGGCAGGTGAAACCAACATTCATTTATTGGTTCACTGTTGGGAACATTACTCACTGATTAGTCAACTTGGTCCTGGTTTTCTTTTAATGTTATGACTCTTTAGGTTTGAAGGCCTGAGCCACTGAAGTGTTGACTTACGCTAAAGAAATGCTAAAGAAAGAAACCAAGGCTCTTATTTGTACCTGTGGCCTTCAGCATTCACCAAAGGAGATCCTCCTCCTCTTCCTCTCCTTGTTTATTTCACCCTTCTTCATTTACTTTCCTGAACTTTTTCTTCTTCCTTGTCACCTTCTTCTTTGCCTCCCCCCTTTTTACTAACCCTTTTCTTCAGTTTGATTTTCCTTCTTCTTAAACCTGTACCGGTCTTTGCCTTCACTTTTAACATTTCCTTTTATCTTTTTTTTCGACACCATCGACACTCTTCTAGCCTACCTTTTCCTTCCCATTTTCCTTCCACTTCTTCTACTTTGTATTTTTTCACTTCTTTTTTCTCTGTATATTTTTCTCCATGTTCTCTTCCCTCTCTTTTTTCCTGTTAGATCTTCATCTTTATCTTTAGCTCTTTTCCTGTTAGATCTTCATCTTTATCTCAATTTCTTCTTCTTCTTCTCCACCTGTCTACCTTTTCTTGCTCTCTGAAAGCCGGACATCAGAAATGTATAGCCGTCCACCTCCGGCACGTTGCAGAGGAAAAGGACAACCATAAAGATAATGGAGACAAATTTACCCAACAGTCATGTGACCTCAAACTGGGGTCACCACGCTGTCTTAATAGCAGCAGCTCATTAGTTTGTATTGTGCTTGTGTGTCGGCCTTAAATTGAATGAGTCAGGATCGGTCCTGGCGTCGTGTCAGCTCGAGCGCCGGTTCACGATGGAGACGTTCAAGGTCGGGCATTTAAAGAACGGCAGGGTTAGAGTGAGGAGATTTAAGGGAAGGCAGCTGAGTCAGTGGTGCACATTTGGCACCTCCTGCATGTGACCTTGAATTATTGTTTTGTTTTTTTATTACATTGAAAGCTTTTCCACTATTTTCTGTCAGCCCACATTAATGGCACAATCAAGAAGGCAGCAAATTATTCATTGTAATTCTCCATTTAAGAGCCTGGTGCCTCTAATTGGTCTTTTATGACTCCCAAACTCCGTCTTTCTCTTTTTCCTTTCATTCTTTTTTTACTTTTCTCCCCTCTGGCGTTTGTTTTTCTTCCTTTCCTGCCACGCTGCAGAGTGACATTAAGCCTCTCCCTGTCGGGGTGCTCTCTTGTCTCACTCCACTGCACATTTTGTTGTCCCCTCTCCTCGTCCTCCTCCGACTCCTCCTCCTCCCCCCAGACAGTGAGCTTTTGACTGAATACATTAGCCAAGCTGTTGTTCTGTTTGTTGTTGTTTTAGCATCTAAGAGAAAAGATGAATTATTAATGATGACAGGCCCAAAAGAAAGAAAAGAACAAAAAGATACAAAGATTTTTTTTTCAGTAGGATATTACTGAGAGCTGCAGCTCCATCAAGAGGCCTGGATATAAGAAGACTCAACTGCACAACTATACGAAAAAGTCCGACTATAAATATTACCTGACCGCTCATGTCATAAAAAAAGATTCAATAACTAAGGTTTCATATACAAAGTCATTTATTTATCGGAACTTTCCCGACATGTTAAATAAATCATTTCTGGTTTTCTTAACCATTTTCTGTAATTTTAGTTTAAAATTTAACTTACTTTTATTTGTAATTATTTTTGTTTTGTTTGAGTTTTTTCTGAGTTTCTCTTTACATGTCATCAAGATTATTTTTCAGCAGTTTTGCTACATCTAAATGATTGTATCATTTTTGCATGTAATGGACTCCCCATGTGTCCCTGTTCTTTTCTCTAAAAATATTTTTTTTACTAAAATGACACAAATAAATAGAGCTAAAACATATAATGATTATATTAATATTTAATATTAATATATTACAATAAATGTAGGAGAACAAATAACATTCCCATTTTACTTTAGTTTTGTAATTAATGGCCAAAAATGCTACAAATAAGTAGATAAATAAATAGCTGTAAATTACCAAAAAAAATAGCAAGGTAAAAAAAAGAAACTATTTCAACCAAAATTGTATTTTTATTATGTTTAATGAACAATAATTTAATGGGAAAAACAAATTAAGAAGGAAGGGAAAATTAATAAATTAAAAAACAAAAATAGCTATGAGAATGCTGAAAAACAAGATGCTGAGGTCAGAGATCAGAAGAAGTTTTCAAAAAAGAGTCAGGTTAGAAGAAGCCTGTGTCCTTTCAGCACCATGGACAGCGTCACGGTGTCGCTCTACAGAGACGGAGAGACAGGAATCAATCACCTCCGTTAGAGAACACGATGATTTTTCTTGTTAAAAAAAAATTAAACCTGGTATTTATTTACATGTTACTTCCCGTTTGCTGTCACAGACAGGTCCGGTTTACATGAAGAATAAAAAATCTGACTTGTCTTATTGTTGCAAATAAATGATGCAAAAACAGTATTTAACGGAAAAATGAATGAAAATAATCAAATATAGCAAAAGAAGCAGAATATATTTTGTTGACAAAATAAAAAGAAATCACCTGAGGTCAGATGAAATCGACAAGGACAGATCATTAATATTATAATTATAATTAAATTAAATTAATAGTTAGTAAATTGTGTAGAAATGTAAATACACAGTAAACAAAGAGATTAATAACCCGATTCGAAAGGCCAGAAGCTAACTGAATGATAAAAGAGAGAAATTAAATACTCTGCGCAAAAAATGGAAAAAACCCGATTCGAAAGGCCAGAAGCTAACTTTTGCGCTAACTGCGCAAAAAATGGAAAACGTTTATTTTAAAGCAGGAAAATGAATCAAGACGCTATCATTTCAAGATAAAGTTCGAGAATTAAGTTAAAAACCAATGATGACTTTGACGACTCAACTCCAACCGTAACAGCCCAAGCGTTTGAACTGCGATAAACAGGGACTACTGCGCCCCCATTTGGTCACTCAGCAGCACTGCACAGTCCATTCAGGCTCAGGAACTACACTGAAACGTTAGGCTGAAAATTAAAGCGACAGAAACTGTTTGCTTCGACTTGTTCTAATGGTTTGGAACACAAATTTCATTATGCTAACCACTGAAACATTTAAAATGTTGATGTGTGGAACACAAATTTCATTATGCTAACCATTTGCTAGCCTTTTGTGCCCTTCTTCCAGGTAATCTATTACATATATATTTATTTCATTTTATGATTTTGGAGATTAATAAAGATTGTTTTGTCAAAATCCTTAGCTTTCCTTTCTGAAATCTGTTTACTCATCTTTTGAGGTTTAGCCACGTTTTCTTACTTTCAGCTTTTAAAAAAATCCATATGCATATACACCGAAATACTAGAGTAGATTCTCAAAATGCAAAAAAGTTGTTAAAACAAATTTCATTCACACAATGAAATGTCTGCTCCACACCAGTCCACGAAACTCCAAACTTTAAATAGCCATTACATCACTTCCTGTTTTCACTCAGTAGTAAAGTCATGCTATTGGCTACTGTACGTGTAACAAGTCATGTACAGTAAGTTAGTTAGGTCATAAGTATGTTAACTAGTTTATTCATGTTTAACTAGTTCAGTTTCACAATAGAAGAGTTTTTGGCGCCTCCCAGAGAAGTCCACTGGAAAACCACTGATTTTTCCTTAATTGGATTTTGTGTCTTGATTTTCTTTTCTCTACTTTTATTGTAGCTTATGTTAATGCTAATTTACTAATGCTTTTACTATCTTCCTGCCTTGTCTTGTTGAACTTCTATTGGTGTGATGAATGTTGATAGAATAATATTGTGTAGGCTGCTGTCTGGGCTGTGCTGAAGTTTTACTGATCTATATAAATCACATCATACTTAGATATGTTTATTTTAGACCCTGGTTCATTTGCATCTGGACCGGAGATTATTTTCACAGGGATGAAATACCAGCAACCTTTTGTGAGTGATAAAAAACTGTGGTGGTTTTTATCTGTGGTGATTAAAAGCAGCTAACAGTTAGCACGCCTGCCTTGTAAGCAAAGAGCAGAGAGTCCTGGCTTGGATTCCCAGGGGGAACACCTAATGACTCCTCCACACTTGGAAATAGCTTTCGATAAAAGCGTCTACTAAATGCATAAATATAAATTTAAAAGTCAACTTGAATCAGAAAGTAATTGACCGATGCAATCCTTTCAATTGTATTATTAGCAACATTGTCTTAAGGCTTTTTTCCTAAACTGAGCAGAAAGCAGATCCTGTAGAGGAGTTTATAGGATCAGAGAAGAGCTAAATATCATTTCCATACCATTTGAACCTCTTAACTAGCAGCGCAGTGCACAGAAGAAGCGCTGACAACAACAATGAGGTAGGAGCGCCGTGCTTCGCCGCTCTGCCAAGGAGTATGGAGACGAGCAGGAGCAGAAGGTCAGAGGTCAACTGCGCTCTTCCACAAAAACGCCCTGCAGCTGTGGCCGTGTTTGAGACGGCCCTGCCTCACTTTGGGATACCATTCCCGCGATGAACTGCAAAGAATAGCATTCCGCCGCTGGAAAGGAGAGCATCACTTACAGTGATTCATCCATCGATTATTTCTAACCGAGCGTGGAGGTGCCATGTAAGCACACATACATTAGCTGCTGCACACATGCGGCCTCCGACACACACACAAATAGGCAGCCTGAGGCCGACTCTGACTGCTTTACAATCAGATTCTGACTCCTGCCAGCTCGTGGGTATCTTCACAACATCTAAAGGCTAAACACATCTGGATAAATGAACAGATGAGAAATGTAAGTGAATTACTTTGTTACTTTGTGTCGTAGATGAGCAGCACACCACTGCACACCACCAAGTGTGACCTTTGCGTTGTACCCAGCAGGGGGCAGCTCGAGCACCCGGAGAGCGTGTGGGGACGGTGCCATGCTCACAGCACCTCAGTGGTAACTTGGCAGCTGGTGGACTCAAACCTGAAGCCTTCAAGTCTGCTTGCTTAACCACCAAACCACCACTGCCCACTGATGAATGGGCCAGGATTTATCTTATTGATTAGAGTGTGAACTCAGATCTATCAGACAAATAACACTAATAAAAAAAAAAGTCACTTATTCCTACAGAAATAATCACCAGCTCAATGCTAAAATAACCTTCAGAACAGTCCCATCACACTGGCCTTTTAAAGAATTAATGTGGATATTTTTGAAGATATAAACTGTTAAAAAAGTTACAGTGTCTGACATCACACTTGATATTAACTCTGGACGATGAAATTCACCAAAACTAAAAAACGAAATTAAGAGAGGCTCGAGATATTCTAAAGATTTCAAAAAACAAATAGTAAAACAATCAGATTTAAATGAAATGTGTGAATTCTTGGGAAAAGTTTGAAACTAATCTCACCGTCAACATAAAGCAACAATGAGAAAGATAATATTTGCTCAAAATAGCAAGACTAGTAACTTGCGGAAAACATTGAAGATTAAAAGAAAAGAACAACGATAAAATGCTAGCCTGAATTGCAGAAACTGGCACTCGTTATTCACATGATAGCGCCAAAATAGGAAATCCTACCCAATCGTAGCTAAACAGGTTAGGGAGAACAAACCATACGCTATACCAGAAGATAACCATAAAAATGTGGTTCAAGTAAAAGGCTAATAGCTTAAGACTGTGGAGAGCTGACATTCTAAAAGATAACAGGAATGGACGGTTTCATTAGCTGAGTAATAGTTAACATAAAACAGGTTATTAAAGTTATCTGTGGTCCCAGCCGTCTCCTATTTTTAGATCATCCACAGGTTGGATGATAATTCAAGACGACATGGTAGCATTTTGCGTTTAAGCAGAAATTAAAAGTCCAGCTCCCTCCTGTCAGTATCTCACCAATCACTGCTGCTCAGGTTAGGTTCCAACCTTTAGCTGTAAAGGAGGGAGAATGCCAGCGTTGACGATTGGTTCAACTCCGTCACTGCGTCTGTTTTATTTTACGTTGACTTTTCCTGTTTTTCTAAGATGTTGGCCCTCTCTCTGTCTCCCATCCTCAGGACTGGTAATGGCATTCCCCATGACAACGGCGGTGTGACATGGCTGTGCCTTTGAGGGCTGCAGTGGCCCTTCATGAGAGAGGGCCGCAGAAACATGACAGGGTCAAGGTCACTTCCCATCATCCTCTTGCAGCTTTTCTCTCTGTCACGGAGCAGAAACTCACAGAGAGAGGGAGAGGGAGAGAGAGAGAGAGGGAGAGAGAGTACATCTCTCTGTCTGCAGGCCTGCTTAACATGAGGTTCAGCCAAAGGCTTTTCTGGAAACATCTCTACCTCTGCAGCTCCTGCTCTTCCTCCAGGGCCTGGGATGGATCGATAAGCATGGCGGAGTGAATTCTTTTGGCAGCAGAGTACAGCTGTGCAGTGGTGCCCCGAGGTGCAGCTCCGCTAAAGAGCCAACAAACAGTGGGGGCAGCAGTGGACTGAGTTTATTCAAGAAGAAGAATGATTCCACCGTATACGTCTCCCTTTCTCTATATTTATGATATTTGTCAACAATTACACTCCAAAAGATTCTAGATCCAAGAGCCACTATTGGGCAGGTGTGTCCAAAGTCCAGGCCATCCCTGGTACTTCTCTATTTAATTTATTTTGAATTTTCATAATTCAAATATCATTTAACAATTATTATAAAGTATTGGGTCAATATTTAGTTGTATTGTTGTTAACTTTGAATATATGAAATAAATTAAAGCCATAATGTTTACCATCTTATTCACTCATTGGCCTTTCTGTAGCATAGTCTTTTCATGGCATTTAGTTGACTGAGTTTGGCTGAGGACTTTTTTTATTATTATTAACCTGGATTGTAGATGGTTGGTCAGAGTAAAAGAGTTTTTTTCCAGCCAGATCTTATAGAGTTTTCCTTTTTTTTCTGCTGCTTTTGGTATTGCTTAAAAACAATCACTGATTATTCAATAATAGAATATAACAAATTACTATAATAATATTAGTAAAAAACAAAGTAGTATAAGAAGTCTAAATAAAACCCACCTCTGTAAATTTTAATGCACCTGTAATTTTATTGTAATTTGCAGAATACACTTGTTATCAACCGAATATACTGTAAGTCTGCAATCATTCAGACCTTTCGGTACAAGAGTCAGAAACAAAAAATACTCCCCTGCCACCTGGTGGCCATAACACAATACTGTCATCAACGTAGACAAGGAGTATTTAAAGATTAATTCCAAAAATAATAGCAATAAAACAAGGACATGTGGCAAAAAAATTAAGTATTTTTAAGTCTTTGTTTTATATTAAAAAATATATATTTTCTGCTGTCATGGCACTGTCCTTAAAGGATGTCTACTGACAATAAAAAAGTCAAAAACAATAAAAAATTTAAACACATTGATTTAAACTTATAAAAGGAATTAACAACATGTTACTTCCTGTCAACAGACAAAGTGCTGGAACTGCTGCTCTGCTGTTAAAATATGTATCAGAAAGCTGCACTACAGAAGCAGAAAAACAAACATCTAGAACGTTCACTTCTTTAAATACTTCCATTCACTTTGTGAAACATGTTTCTGTAATTACAAACTCAGTGAACCTAACTCTGATTAATATTTTAGCCTTGTTTAAATAAATCCAATATTTATCAACAGTAATTTATAATACTGCATATGCTAACTAAGTTCTCCTAAGCTAATATTTCCTATTAGTTTTTGTCAAATGTTGACCATATATATTTATTAGGTCGTCTGTGTTTGGTAATGGGATACAGTTTTGTTATTCAAAACTGTTGAAAGGTGTTTTACCCGATCTCTAGCTTTTTAGCACTTTGTTTTTGCTAAACCTTGATTTACTAAATTTGGCCTACATTTATCAATTCTATGGCTAGTTGTTAGCTATTCTGATGCTCACTTTTAGATACTTTATTTTTCTTAGGACTTAACTTTAAGTTACAATTTTATCTTCCATTGAACATTGTTATTGCTGTTCAGTGCTAACAATTAGCTTTCTCTACGATTATATTTTTCACCTATGCTGGGTAACCTTCAGCTTGCAGTACTAATATGTGGAACTAGTTGAATCAGTGCTGGCTCTGGGGCCTAAACCTGTCCCATCATCCCTGAGGTGATACCTCTGCACAGCTAAGGCTACAGCCTGTGCAAACCTGGACTGAGCTGTGCTTTTCCTGTCATCAAACTCTTCGTCTAGTCCAGATGTCACCGGTTTGGTAGAAGGTGGAGGGAAAGTAGAAGCATCTTCTTGCTCTTCCACGACTTCTGAGTCTTCATCGAAGAAGACAGGAGAAGGAGGAGGAGGGAAAGTGTCCTCTTCTGTTATCTCTCCCTTCTCCAAGTCTTCACCTTCTGCAGTTTCTGAGTCCCACAGCTCAATGTCTGCGCTCACAGACGAACCCCTGCAGCTGTGAAGGCCTGTACTCAGTTCTTTTGAGTTTCTGCAGAGTTTCTGTTCATCTGTGACATCGGATTTGTCTTCACCGTCATCCTCCTCCTCTGTTTCCTGTCCCTCCACGGAGAGAGGAGGCAGAGGAGGAGACTCTGGACCAGAGCAGTTAAATGTGTCCTTCTTCATCAAAGGTGTCTGTACATCACATCTGGAAGGAGAACTTGAATAATCTTCATGCTCACGGTCAGGAGTTGCAGAATAGGAAAGTGAAAGCTGAATCCTGTCTAATGTCTCTGCTGCTTTCTCAACCACTTGCTTGTTTGATGGGACCACTTTGAACGTAGTTGTCCCAGGCCTCTGGAGAGGATCCTGCCATTCAGGCTCCAGTTCAAAGGACAAACGTCTTCCTTGATGCTGCAGACACACAGAGCGTGCTGGAAATTCTGGAGCAGAATATGGCCGATGACTGACCCTTGAACCCTTTGAAACAGATGACACGAGGACTTTGGCCAGAGCAGAACGAGCGTCATAAAAGTCTTTCCTTCCAAACACGGGTAGGCAGACGTCAGCAGACGACTGTGAGGTAGATGAGGATGAAGATGATCGTGGTGGAGGATGGTTTGGAGTCAAAGATGGAGACCATGATTGTTTTAAGGACTCTGACTTATCGCTTTCCCCCTGCAGATCTTGACTGTTTAGATCCTCTACACTTCCTAAAGAGAAAGGAAACCCCCTTAGCATGGCTACATCTCAGAAGGAATGTCCACCTCTTATATAAACAATCCTTATCAACAAAGGACAAGGGACAGGTTTAAGAATAGTAATGTGTGGAATTGTTTTACCTTACAGACACATTTAAATTAACCATTATATTTTTTTAAAGCTGTAAAGTACACAGTTTACTGTATAATAAACTAGCATTTTTAGTAGCAGCTAACAGCAGGCTGCGACAAAACGAACCAACAGCCAAATTAGGAAATCATAATTAGCAATATAAAGTAAAAGATGGCAAAGTGAGCGGTCAAGAAAAATACAAATTTTAAACTATATAAACTACAGTATTTAAGGTGCAAAGAAAGTGCCTGTGTTAGCCACAAATTTAAAAACAATGTTTAAAAGATGATACAAATAGCTTAGCGACAGCTAAACCCATTGAACTTAAATGACAACAATATTTTACCAAAAATACCAACCAACCAAAAATAAATAAATACCAAAATGCCAACAGAAAGGTCAACAATTATCTATCTTATATAAGCTACGGAATAGCTAACAAAGGCCTTAAAAGATAACTCAAAGCTAGCTGAGCCACAGCTAAAATGAAAAATTAACTTCACAGGTAAGTAAACGAACAGGGGAACAAAATTCAATACTAAGAGTTTGTCCATTTAAGTTCTAGTGTATATTCATGAGATTTACCTTCTACAGAAAAGTACGACCAGGTAACATGAAAAAATACCAAGTAATTACACTTTTAAAGGCATAGAAAACAATAAATCTGTAGGTTAGAATGAAATTAGGTTTATTTAAAATCATCCAGAAGTGGAAGTGGTATTGAGATACTAAAGGCACAGCAGGTAGTCTACAATTTATATCAGAAAGACTAAAAAAAGGATTTAAAAGACAACTACAGAGTTCTTAGTGGGTGGAAGAAGAGGAGGAAGAAAAGTAAAGTGCAGAAGGAGAAGGTCTATAGAGGAGGTGAGAGAAGGAAAAGAAGATGACTGCAGCACCAGCAGCAGCAGCAGCAGGAGGAGGAGGAGGAGGAGGAGAATAAGGAGCCCTCAATCATCATTACCACCACCAGGTAACACAGAGTCTAGAAGCAAGGGAGGAGAAAAAAGGCTTGGCTTTAGCTTTTTCATCAGGATATGTGTCTCGTATCGTAAACACTCTTTTGGTTTGTTTTTCTGATATACTTTTTAGTTATACACTGCTTAATTTCCCATAATCAAAGAAAGGCTTACTGTATGCTAAGCTAACCTTTGTTGTGGTTCAACTGACTGCAGCGCCACTCTTCGCTAAGCTAAGCTAACGTTAGCTTAGCTTTTCCAAAGAATAGTCTTTTATTCAATATGCCCCTTTTTTATAATTTCTATTTGGCTATTTTTCCATATTTAAAAAAAAAAAACTCTTCATGCTAGGTTAAAGTTTTGCTTATATTCTGGTTTAAGCATTTTTCTAACAGCAGCATTTTAGCTATTTCTGGTTAACATACATGTAAATGGTTGGGGGTTTTTTTTCCCCTTTTTTAATTCTGCCAGGTTTTTCTTGTAGTCATATTTATCCATCTGTATGTTTATGTAACTTTTAGGCACATCTTGTTCAATGTCGAGCAGTTTAATTAGGAATTAAAGCAATATTTGTTTAAGTTTTGTGTTTCTAGGTTAGGCTGAAAAAAAAAAAATCAACTTTTTCTTACTACATTGTTTTTTTTACTAAAATGTTAGGTAAAAAGACTCAGGCTACTTCTAAGCTAACTTTGTTAACATATAAACCTAAAACATTGGTTTGCAAGAGGCAGATTTTATGATATGCATTGCAATAGGACATTTAACAGACATTTTATAGATCATTAAAAGAAGGTCATACTCCAGTCTACGGACAGCGAGTAGTGTAGGAGGAACAGGAGGAGGAGTAGTGTTGGGAACCAGTTCTGCTGTGTTAACAGGGAGTTGTTTCATTATCCTGAAGTTTACAGTGACTCAGCAGTCTGTGTTACAATGTCAGAGCTAATAAAGGGAAATAAAACAAAGACCCACACAGCTGGAGGCGTTTTCAATCTCAGCTCTGCACCTTCACTGGTCTGCCAATATAACAACTCCACCATGCACTGTGTGTACAATTACTTACATATGAATGGAAATAATGGTAAGTCCATTTTTTGAAGCCAGTTCAGTTTGTTTTTCTCTTAATATGCGACAGTTCAATGTGTCTAGTAAAAGCAGTGATGTCACATGACTGCATAAATTAACCATTTTCTAACTTTATTTGCCCAAACTGTGCTCTTTCATGGATATATAATTGGCAGTGATTTTTTTTAATTAAATCACATTTTAGTCTTGATGTAAGTACAATCATTCACCCATCAAATTAAACCTGAATAAAATTGAAAGAATATCAGAAATCTACTAAGGCTTTTGTTTTTTTCACCTGAATAAATTCTACAGGGATTATTGTCTGATGGTGTCGGTGGGACAGGTTATTTCTGGCGAGACTCCTCAGAGGTCGTGCACTTAAATAAAATGATATAAAAATAGACATTTTATCTAAGATTATTATTTGTGTTATATTTATTGTGGAATTCAAAATGGTTTGATGGGCTAGAATCAGCCCGCGGGCCGCCAGTTGGTAAGCATACACAGATAATATGTTTATTGGATATAGGCCATACTATATATATTGTTTTTATTATAAAATGCTGCCTAAGGTCATATGAAATGGTGTGTGGCCATGCTAGGAGTTTACCTTTAATCTGCATAACCTCAGGGGGTGTGTTTGCACATGGAGGGGGCGGAGCTTTCCTCTTAGTCATTCTTAAGGTTGATTCAGTACTCTACAAAGAGAAAATGAGATTATAGATTATCAACCACTGAAAAGTAAAGTCAGTTGTTTTCTAACGTCCTCTTGTCCAGCCAACAGACCTGCGTCCCTCTAAGATGGCAGGTGTCCATATTGCTGGGAACACTCTGTGAGCCACTAACAGGCGGCTGAGGTGCTCGCCTCTTCTTAGGCGTTTCAGCAGGAGTGTCAGTCTTATTCAGATGGAGAGTGGTTTGAATGTTGAGAGCCGTAGAGGCAGCAGTGCTCCCTGCTCTTTCCTATAGAGATGAAAATGATCGATTATAGTCATGTGAACCTAAAAGGTCCTTAAAATTACGTTGTTACTAACGAGACCTTGGCATACCACTTCGGCTTTTTTCTTTTTCTTCTTTCTAAATAAGGCAAAAAATCCTCTCTTCGCGTTCTGTTTCTTCTCGATCCTGAGTTGATCTAAAAAATATACAAAAGAAATGATTCAATACTACAATACTTCAGACAGACGTGTGTATTACCTCACCTGTAGGCAGTGAGAGGAGCTCTGCTGGTGGGAAAACAATACAATTGTTATACAGTAGTTTATCAACACAGTGGATCAGATCACATGACCTAACTTTAGGTTTTACAAACAGTATGTTCCACTGCAGGAACATAAAGGCACAGTAACTATAACAGTGTGTATTTTTGTGGCCAGGAATTACACCGAAGCCCTGGATATGATTAACAGAGAAAAAAAACAACAGTACTTGAGGTAAAGTATACAGCATACACACTCTTAGTAATAATATTAGAACTATGTGTAAAGTATTTCCTGTGACAGATAGACACATCTACATAAAAAAAGAAAATATTTCAAGATTAAAGGTCAAATTGTGTATTTGACAGTTCAATGTAAACCAGCTGTGATAGAACGTATTAGTCTGTAAAAACAGCAGAATATGGAGGAGGATAGAAACTGCTGAGTGTGGAAACCTGGCCCTCAGACAAAATACACCCTCACCAACAATTCAGTAACACAGAAATACAAGCAGATTTTAAAATGGGGAAACAAAAGAAGGAAGACTGGAGTTCAACGGAAAACAGGTGCAGCAAAATATTTAAAAAAAAAAAAGCGTGAAGAAGTGCAGCGTTACAGACAATTTCAGATGGTTATATCTAAATTTTCTAAACTGACTGTTAATTTTTTTTCAGATTTTTCATAATAACTTCTGTGTTCTCCAGTGCTGGGCTGACTTACTACCAGCATCACATCTACTGGGTCTGTTTCTTTTCTGATGCTAGATGCTCCTTTCTAGATGGACACTATATAATCTGTGGTTTCAGTTCTGCAATTTACAGTTTAGTCCCGTAATTTGTCAGTGCCACATTAGCAGCATTCAGTTGTCACAAATGTAGACAGTGCCCTCCTGTGGTCAAAGTTGGTATAGGGTATTTTTGATACAAAAGTCGTGTTGATACAGTTACCATTGAGTATCTACAGCTCTCATTAAAACCTCAAAATGCCTGAAGTCAACTGTTTTCCTGGCTGCATATCTAAAGAGTGAAGGTGTTTCTCTGAACGAACTTCTGTACTGTGTTACTAGAAGGTAAAAATGGGTCAGGAGTGGGCTACCAGCTGCCTTCATCATAGGAACATACATTCATGAGAGTTAGTGTTCTGAATAGTGACCATGGTGTAAGGGTAGAAACTCACCTGCGCCACCTCTTGTTGTTTCATGGCAACGCTCAGCACACTGCTCCTGAGCAGTATCTTTGGCAAACACTTCTCTTAATCCGTGCTCATTCAAGGTTTTGGTCAGGTCCAGAGGCTCTTTGGACAGACGGTCTCTGAATAACACGGTGGAATCCACTTCAAACTCACACTTGTCACACACAGCAGGCAGCAGAATTTTAAGGGGCACTCTGGGATTAACTCGCACCACGGTTTTATGGGACTTGTGGTAGTTGATCAAAAGTCGGACTGTGGCCTGCAGGGAAAAGAAGGGTTAAATCAGACTTGGACTTCAGTCAGTAGAAAGAATCTGACGTTAAAAGTGAGACGTTGGCTAAGTTAAAGTAACTTTGTATTTTCCAATCAAAACCATCTCTCAAAAGACAAATTCCTTGGACTGGGCATCACTAAGAACAAATGTAAATAGAGTTAATCCCTGCCCTGTGTCTGTCTGGACCAGATCAACTTACCTGATAAAATTAGAACAGAAGTTGCAAATAGCACTTAATAAAATAATTCCTGACATAAAGCCACAAATTTTTTTAAATTTTAATTATTTAGGTAATTGGACAAAAACAAGACAGACAGGAGTCCCCAGCGGTTCCCTTTGGGAAATTTGGAATGAATGTCTGGAGTACATTTTTCCAGACTTTAGCTAAGACTAACTTTTCAGGTCAGTGTCAGAACGGCATTGAGAAAACCACTCGATTGTTCCACTGACATCTAATCCAATAAAAGTTTATGTAATATGTTTATATTTAGAGCCAAGTGATTTTTCTATGAGAAATACAGGATGAAATTTGACTTCTCAGCCAGTGGTGGGTGGTCTTCTCCAGTAATTATAGGTTAAACTCATGGGTTCTGATGAGCTGTCCACTTTTAAAACCCTCCCCTTCACTTTCCACAGCTTGATCTCTGCAGCTTAACTTGTTTTGCACTTCCTTTCAGCCACATTACAGCAGCCTACTGTTGTTTCTCCCCAACTGTTGATGAACAGTTTTTTACCTCTGGCATATACGGCCTCCTGATCTTTTCTTCGACTCCTTTAGGCTTCAGTACAATTTTCTCTGCCTCCAGAGAGCCAATGGGAGAGTTGGGTTTGAAGGCAATGTTGTTCTTGTTGGGGGAGAGAACCTCCACCGTGTAGTCGGTGGGATTTAGATGGTAGTTTGCACATAGGGTCACCAACACGTCCATCACAGGTTTACTGAAAGATTAAAAAAAAATAAAAATGAATATGTGGAAATAATCCACTCTTTACTTTGTTCCTGTGTGTATGTGAATACAACTTAAATGTGGAACGGTTCTGTTTGACATATACACAATAGAAAAGAAGAGCAGCACCTGTCTGTGGTTCTCTTCAGTGTGTCCTACCTTCCATGTACAGTGGCATGTTTCTCCAGGCCACCAGGCAGGACCACAGACAGGAAGTGGTCTCTGTCCAGTGGATCTTCTTCCATCTCAATGTGATCTCCAGGGGAATGGATTGGCCAGAGACTGGTTTAGTTCACAGGTGCCACGCTTCAGAGGAAAAACAAAAGTATTTATTTACTCGTCAATTCAGAGAAATCAAAACCAGAAACAATAAGATTAAAATTACAAAATTACACAAGATACAAAATAAAAACAGAAATAAATGAGGCAATGTGTCCACAATGATTGAATTGTGGACATATTAATTAAATTAATTAGACAGATGACAAAAGTAAAAGATATTACAAGACAATATACGAACGGTGAATGTGAGACTGGATTCAATTTGAATCACAACCTCACTTTTACAACAAGTTTGAATCAAACCTAAGTGTAAATTCTATCGATCTTCACTGAGTGATAACGGAAACGCGAACATTTTGTGACATCGAACATCATCATATTTTAGTCAAACAAACTGATTCAAAACTGATCAAAATTGATTTTGATATTTTATCAAATAAATCACAGAAGGACGAAAGCGTCTTTCCTCCGAGGTCCACTTACCACTCTCACCAGGTGAACACTCGGCCATGTGACACGTGACCGTCTGAATCCAACAACCACATGGTTTGTATTAATAGAAAGCGGCGATTGGAGGAAACGGGGGCATCACAGCGTTAAAAACGCGGACTCGGAGCATTTAGATATTACTAGGTATTAAAGAATCCCGACGACGACACGCTGCTGCAATGACACGGTCCTGCTTCTAACCTAAGCTGCATTTCTTTTGTTGGCCAGGAGCAGCGCTATAGTAAAACTCCCACCACCTGTTTTCAACCCGCAAATACTGAAATTGATAATTAAACTTACATCTACAAAAACGTTTAGTTTTAACCATTTATATCATAATTAATAGATGCAGCAGTAGAGTAAGCATTTTAGTAGTACTCAAACAGCCAAAAAGAGATGGAGAGAATATGTAGAAAAAAAAGACATGAAGCTAAAGAGGAAATATTACATTTCTTACATAAGCAAGTGACACCTGCTCTGCACTCATACAGGTGCAGCCATGTTGCTCAAACATCTGTCATCGGTCTCAGTTCTCTTTTCCATATAACATATGTGTATATATATATATATATATATATACACACACACACACATTCAACAATTTCATTTTCCAGTGTAGATAATGTTGGCCATTCCCATGCTCTGTCTCAGCTACTGGCTTTATCTCTTTACCTGTCAATGGCTCAAGTTTCCTTGGTTAATGTTAGTATTAAATGCCTGTTTCCTTTATTTTTAAGCTACCTTTTAGTGGTGTTTTGGCTAAACATCTACAACAGTGACTTAATATGTCACTAGTGTATAACCTTTAGGCCATTGAGATGAAAAAAGTATTTAGTAAAATGTTCAAAAGCCTAATAATGTTAATGTGATAGTATCCTTAAAATCAGTATAGAATAAATGTTTGAAAAATATTTAAAGAATATCTGAACATATTTTCTGTTCAGAGTAAACATTTGTACTCAAACCAAAAACAAAGAGATTTGGTTAAGAAATGAAAATAGACATAGAACAGCTAATATTAGACTGCTTCAATAATCAAGTCTACACTCATACAGTCTCAGCCATAACACTCAAGCAGCACTGCAGCGTTCCAAATCAGATTACACTCCACTGTTCCATCAGAGGGATTAGAGCTTGTTATGAAAGGCTGCGTCTCTTCCTTCACAGACTAATTTAGGAAACACTTCATTGATTATACAGGACAGGCCCAGTGTGTGTGTGTGTGTGTGTGTGTGTGTGTGTGTGTGTTCTCACCTGCCTTCTGTAGTTCTTCCCATCCTTACTTCCAAAGCTTTCTTCACTTTTGTGATCAGTGAACTGAAGGTGGAGGAAGACACGGACAGTGGAGCAGATTAGCTGACACACCCACAGGCCAGGCCTGGTCATGTGACTTTGCTTTGCATGTCCCTGTGATAATTGGGGGCAGGGAGCCCAACCTCTTGAGAATACTACAAATGAAACTGATGATAGAATGAAAAACAATCAGACTAATACCGTATATCAAAAGAGCAAAAGCTGTAGGCTGGCACAATCATAATTTTCTTTTTGGTTTAAAAAAAAGGACTAAAAGTAATTCATACTTTATAACGCAATTGGCTAAAATACCCTACTGGAGGCCAAAATATGTCCCAGAAATCATTAAGTATTAGCAAAAATAAATCACAAATACTGAAATTTTTTTTTTTAAACATTTTAAAGAAAATAATATAAGACATTTACTGTGTGTTCAAAGTGTAAAAAAATATAAAGATATATAGATAATAAGTTGTAATAAATAACTTGAGTTTAAAAAATATTTAGATGTCTGCAATATGAATGAAACTGAAAAACTCTTTAAGATTATTATCAATTGACTTTTCTGCACAAAACAACCAAACAGGTTTTAAACTGTAACAGATGATTGACGGGGATTTTTAAGAAGTTTTATAAACTTTTTTAAACCCTGTACTGAAAGAATAATATAACATATATATAGAACATCATTTTTATTTCATTTATTTCATTTCCCCTTTTAAATTGTTGAAAACAATTCTTTTTTTCATTTTAATTCAATTAAAAACTTTTAACTTTGATTTAGAAACTGAAAGTGGTGTTTCAGGAACTTGAGGATGACTTTTTTCTTTCATCTTTAACTCATGTGTGTCAAATGCCAACTTGGATTTTCCATGACATACTTCAACACACATCCGTAGTGGACTGATGGAGGTCTGCCTTTGACTGGAAAGCATGTCACACAGATTAATACTGTTGTTCCACAAGGTCAAAATTAGACTCCCAAATTCATCACCCTGCTGCTAATGAAACCTGCAGCAAAGTCACAGAGACATGCCAAAAAGGACAGCCTAGAAGCAACGGAAAACACAGGGTCCTTGAATCCAAACACCTTCCTGCTAGCGTTCTCACAACCTTTGCTGTATTTTCTCGTTGGCCTGATGGATCCTCTCTTTCCACTCAGCCTTTCCCCTGTGTTTTCTTCATTTCTGAACTGCACCTCTTGTGCATTTATTCACTTAGTTTAATAAACCCATTCCACAAGGCATGTATGAGCTGTTAGCCTTTTTTAGGCCCGGCATTTATCCTGAGTTGTCGTTTTTTATTGTCAAATGTTTGCTAACCTGTGACTAAGTGACATGTTTATTTTTCATAATTTGCTAGGAAATGTTTTCTTTGCTCTCTAGGTTTGCTTAATTATTATTATGGCTGGTGTCTACCTTTTTTATTAGCTATTTAGTCTGTAAGTTTTAGTAATTTTCTGCCCTATGTTTGGTTATCTCTTAGCCTTATTTTTGTTGCTTACTTTTAGCTATTGGGCTAATCAAAGGCTTTATTCATATCTTTATCTTCAAATCAAATCAAATTTCAACCTCTTTTAATTAATTAATTATGAAAGCTCTGACTGTTAACAGTTTTGTGGCTAATATTAAACATTATTTTCTAAACTTTTGGCTTTCTCTCTGTACTGTTCTCTACATTTTTGAGTTTTCTAGGAAGTAGATTCAGACAACATTGTACGTAGCTGAAAAATATTGTCCTCCTCTGTTGAGTAATCGATTCTCTGAGTAGATGCAGTGGAACAGCTCAGTCCTGTACTGAAGAGCTTACTATAGTCTATTGTTGCATACAAGTGGCTGTTTGGGTCTCTCTGGTGTCCAGGTGACTTCATTGCTTTGATAAAATGACCAACAACCTACACAGACACAAATGTTTTTATGCTAATGCTAAGAATTAAAATGAAAACATTGCCCATGTCATGGGTTTGGTGAAGTTATAAATCTAGTTGAAACGAAGGGCTACAGATTGCTCTGTTCAATTTTTATGCACAGACAGTGGTTTGTGCTCGTGTAGTTTACTGAAGGGGAAACTTGACGGAATTTTACTACAGACATAGAGCGTTGTTTCACTATTTGACCAGCAGGTGGCAGAATTGGACATACAAAGCAGAGCTGCTTTTTGTAGACACCTTAATGTGGCTTGCGCGCACGCAACAGTCTACTTCCTGTCACCTCAAGCTCAACCTCTATTTCAGAAAATAATCATAAAATCATACATTTAGCGAATATTTCATTTTTGGCTCTAGAAATGTAATTAATGGATTCTTCATTAAACTCTACGCCCGAGTCTGTTGTGTTGAAACACCAACTTTATATTACAATGTTCTGTGAAGAAATATGTTTCGATTATTAGAAAATGTAGTAATGTAAATTACACATGACGGTTTGTGCTAACTAATAAAAAAAAGCATTAACCTTTTGCTAAAACAAGTGCATTAATTTCAGTCGTGTCGCAAACAGGTTAACACATTTAAACAAACTAATTTGTGATTTTGATATTACATTTATTTTCTTTAAATTATTTATACTCGAAACAATTTTGTTAATCACATGTTGCGCGTCAAAGGGAGAGAAGCCTGAAAACAACATGTTGCCTTCAGGCCATCTTGTGTCACACACAGTCGCCCCTTACAGGACGTTTCATTTCATTTCTCCGCCCGCCGATCCGACCGGAAGCGCGCATTGATTTTTTTTTTCCACAGCGTCAAGCGCGACTGCAAGGGGGCAGAGTGAGAAGAAAATGCTAACATAAAAACAACCGAAGCAGTGCTAAATAAACGTCAGTCCTTTATAGACTGTGTCACACACGTCGACGACGGTTTCTAGGGTGTAACTTAAAGGAGGATATTCTTTTTTCTCGGATGTGGGATCTACCTTCGAGCTCACCCACCTGCTGGCCACCGTGATGGTGGTGAGTATGCACGCAGTTGGAGGGGCTTCTATGTCTTTCCTTTAAACCCGTTACTCAACGGATATCCATACCACTTAATACGAATACAAACATGCTCCTTTAGTTAATCATGGATGGAGATAAATAACCAAATGTTTTATATCCCCAGTAAGTGATTCAGTCGCCGATTGAGCGTGACATTCGTTTCAACTTAAATATTGTTCTAAAAATGTCAAACAAAAAGCCAATTTGTGTTTGTAAGCGTTCACGTCTGTTCTCTTTTTATTTAAATTAAAACTCGAATATAATGTGAATTTGAAAGGATAATATCAGCATTTAAACATTGTCTTTCTTTAATTATAAAAAATCTATATAAAAATGACGACGTCGTGACGTCCAAAGTATAGCAATAATATCTTTGCATTTCTAACTGCGTGACCCGAAGCAACATGGCTATAAGAAATATGAAAGGGTCTTGACGCTCGTCTTTTTTCGTGTTACTATGTATAAACCACCTGCAGGAATGATAGAAGAACAAAACATTGTTCTATTTTATCCTGTCTTTGGTAAAATGCTTGTCTGTGGAGGTGACTGGCTCCCAGGGCACGCCCAGACGCCGCTGCACTTCTTTCACTGACAACATAACATGTTGTACGTTGCGACGATGAAATCGTATCCAGGCATATTTAACCTGAAACAAATCGAAATAAAGACGAATGGAAAACTGTTGAGATGAATTTGAAGCGCGTCTCATGAATTTGCTCACAGCCATTTCGAGGCACTGGTTTCTCTAGGGAAGGGTGGAAGCCTTCTACCCGGTCACCAGGTGACTGAGCTCCGTTGGTGCCAAGAGGATTGAGTGATTGGTGTCTGAAGGAGCGTTTAACGGCTGGACGGCTGGGCTGTGCTGATGTCGTCGTTGATACGTTTTTTTTTTAACTCGTGGGAGTTGTCGGTGCCACCTTTCTTGCTGTTGGTCCCGGAGAGACTGAGACGATTTGTGGTGATACAAGTGCTCGTCAGGAGCCTATGAAACGCAAAAGTGTCGCTTTCTTGTCTGGATGACGCGGAGACATCAACATGGCGACGGCAGCCATAGCTGCAGCTACGGCCTCGTCGACTCTTTTACTGAAACGTCGACTCACTTAGGTATCGTGCTTTATATCTGTGATACCCAAGAAATATATGATATTTACATAGAAATAGTAATTAGAGTTGTTAAGATCTTTGCTGTTATTTCAACTACACTTTAAAAGTAAATTGTTCTTCTGTCTTATCCTAGATTTTACAGGTGGTTGTAGTCAAAACCCAATAAATAGTCTATACCATATGTAGCACTTTTTAAATCCCAATGTCAACTTGAAGTGCCTTACCTTAACCCCAACAAATCTGGAATCAAACCCAAACCTCTGCACTTGTAAGACAACTGCACTGTCTACTGAGGTACAGCACCTCCTACTACCAAATGTGACTGTTTAGTTTTTAAAGCATCTGGTGTGTCTCAAGTTTTAACCAGCCTTGGTTGTTTTGTCAAATGCAGCCGCCTGGTCTCTGCTGTGGTCTTGGTGATTTGCACGAGCTGTCCAGTTGTCTATAAGTGAGATGTTTTCTAACTTAAACCTTCAGAACCACGGCTTAGACCCCTCGTACATGCTAGTGACCTTTGAAACAATGGTTTAATTCAAATTCAATTACTGTGTGCCTTTTATGTTATAAAAACGTTTATATTGTTTATAGCTGTTAGAAGTTAGATAATTATTATACATTGCTGATTGAAGCGCTACATCAAAACATAGAAAAATACAATTGATGACAGCACAAAATCAGTACATCTGGTAAAAGACAAAATTCAAGGTCGTTGTTTTGCTTTCAGCTTTGTCTCTATTGCTAAGACAGCCAATGTTGCAGCTTTCAGGACCACGGACAGCAACCATGGCCTGTTGTCAATTTTTTAAACAGAAGTGATGACGTCCTGAAGTAACAAAGAACAATAAGACACATCTAAGAACATGCTCCTCAATGAGAAGTAGCACTGTTTTTTAGTTTAATTAATTACATTTTAAACACCACCATTTCTGTTCTGTTGTTTACTCCTGAAGCAGCAGCTTCGGAAAATGGGTCCAATACAGCTGCTCTGGTTAGCCAATGATGAAAATTGAACACCAGTTCTTTTCAATCAACAGGTCATTATATTTCTTTTTAATTTAAAAAAAAACCTGACGACTGCACTGCTGTCTGGCTTGTTGAGTAGTGAGTCAGCTATTAGTTCTAGAAGACTGAAACCCTGAAAAATATGGAATCACTTTAAGTTAATGGGTGATTAATTTAGTGTTCTTATGTATGCCATACTGGCATGTGGACACTGTGAACATTAAATATTCAAATATTTCTGATATTGGGAAACATAACAGTTTCATATGTAGAACATTTTAAGGGGAAAACAGTGTTTAGGAGTTATGTTGTTGTGAAGAAGAGATCGTGTTGGGTGTATATATTCGACATCCAAACTTAATTTGTTGCTTTACATGTCTTTCCTTAGGCATTAATTATTTCATTGAAATTGTTATTGTTGACAACTGTTGCATTGCATTTTTGATAACTTGAACTCTCATTAGGAGAAACCAAAATATTTTCTTTTATGGCATGTAGCTTTATGAGTGAGCTGAACTTCTTGTTGAGCTCACTCAACAACAAGTTGAGCTCTTCTTCTTGTCCAGTACTGGTACTACAAATTGGAGTATCTGCTGGTACCAATATGAACCTAATACCTTTGGTTCTTCTCCAGTATGCCATGGGCTGTCACTGCTGAGGTGATAGTGTCCCTGTTTACAATACGTCATGCAAATTTAATTTAGGCATTTAGGCATAGTTATCTGATTGGATGGGTTATGGCTGCTACAACTGGGTTGTGTTGTGTGTGCTATGGAAAATGGATGAGAAAGTTTACTTCCCTTTCTTAACCCATTGTCCGACTTCCAAATGGTCACACAAGAGACATATTTTATAAAGCTATTGTATATGTTGGTTGATTGACTCTGTTGTAAAGTTAAACTCATAAGTGAGGGAGACATTATTTGAAAATTTGCTGTTGGGATTTATCCTGGGCTGGTGCAGTGTCTCTGGTGACACAAAACCCACCAATGGGACACTGGAGATGGGAATGTACTGAGGATTTGCTTTTAATGACTCACCAGGGTTTTGGGGGAGCATGTTGTTTTCTTCTATTTCCTGTGAGAAAGGAGAGTGGCTCCTGGGTATAAAATCTGATAGAGCAGAAGAGTTGAAGTGAAAAATCTGACATCGCTGATATTGATGATTGATGGGGAAGGAATAAATAACATTTATGTAAAGACAATGACTAAGTGATTGTGCAATACTGCTGACTCTCCCTCTTAGCAAGAGCTGAGCAATAAATAGACCGTCGGGATAGGAGTCCAAAGACAAGAGAGAGAGCTTTGTGCCTTTAGAAATCGAGTGCTTTTTATTTCATTTGTTGTTGGCTGTTTTTCTGAAGTCACTTCTTGACGTCATACACTCCACATTTACTCTTTTCTTACCATTCTGCTCAGTTTTACAGTACAGCTGTCTTTGTGAGTTATTTTTACATTTAACAGGCTATATGACTACAGGCAACCTTATGTGTGGTCTACATACCATCTCCCATAATTTTAGTTGTCATCATTGATTACTAAATATCACATTTTAGTGATATGAAAATAATTTATTATTGTGATATATTTGTTTATTGCTGTAGCTAAGTAGCTAAGGAGCTAAGTAAACTGAAAAGCTTGGTGGCCCGTCGAAACATTAATTTACATTAAATATTAAATAATAAAATTAGTCAATTTTTCTATGTCCATATGTCCCTTCACATGTATGTTAGCATGCCTAGGTCCCTCACCCACCTTTATTTTTCGTCTTGCATGCCTCCCCTGAAGTGCTCTGGTGTCCCCCAGGGGAAGCAATCCTCACATTTTGAAAACTGTTTTAACTCCAATGTGAAGATCAGATACCTGTTCCGATATTGACTAAATGGCCGGATGAACATCATTTGTTACATGTTGTTTAACAAAGTGAGGAAACGTATGTGTAAGTCAAGGTTGATGCCTTCAGTCACTGCCAGATGGCGAGGGACAGAGTTTAATAATTCAACAATGGTATTGAAGCATTGTTGTTAGGAATGGGAATCTAGAACCAGACTCTTTGACCGCTTGCAAGAATGACAGAGCTTTAACGACAAAAGGTGTAGAGCATGCAAACACTTAGGCACACGCCATGCTCTTCCATAATGTTCAGTGTGTCATTGTTCCCACGCTGTTTAGCAATCACATAATTCTCCGTCTTATTACTGTGGAATATCTTATTCCAGGTAACACTCATTCTAGTCCAGTGTTTATGCTGTGAATAAAGACTTAATTACTTGTAGATGATGAGGATGTGTTTGTCGTGTCTCTAGTCGAGTGTGTTACTATAAATCACTAAGGCAGAGCATCTATTCATTATTCCGATTCATTTGTTCTTGTTATATCGCAAGTGCAAAATAATCATCCGCAACATATTGAAGATGGAGCATCTTTATAGACAATAACAACAATATTTGGACTATTAGTGACTTTATTAACTTCTTGGATGAATACTGTTACTGTTATATTTTCATTTGTATTGCAGGCATTTAAACACATCTCAACAAAATACTTTTTTGCAATCTTTTTTAGGAGCCAGTGGTTTTAGAATTGGACCTTCAATTTTTTGTTTCATCCCATACAAGCATTTTTTTAGTTAACTGAACAACTACCTGAGAATTCATCAGTGTTTAAATTTATTTTGTTTTCTATTTGATTAGCAATAAAAAAAACCTTGTTGTAGCTTCATTTTGTTTGGTTGTTGGTCAACCTTTGTAGAGTATGAATTTGTATATGCATGCTGCCATTCCTAGCAAACACTAAACTGTATACAGCTTATGGTGTCTTGGTAACAATTGTAGCATAAACTGGAAAATAAGATGACCTGTGTACATAAATATATTTTACATACCTTTTCCCAGAATTATCCTCTCCTCCTCTGACACTTGGTGCCTCTTTTCCTTGTTGATGCAGCTCCCTGTCCCAGCTGAGCCCTTCACTGTCCTATAAAGAAGCAGGATGACAAGATGGCACAGCTGCTTGTACCGCCCGGACCTGACAGCTTCCACCCCTTCGTCCCTGAGTCGCTGGCGGCCATTGAAAGGCGCATCGCAGAAGAAGCGGCCAAGAGACCAAAGGCAGACCGACGCAGTGACAGCGACGATGAAAATGGCCCAAAGCCCAACAGTGACTTGGAGGCAGGGAAATCTTTGCCCTTCATCTATGGGGATATCCCTCCCAAGTTGGTGTCCACACCTCTGGAGGACATGGACACCTACTACAGCAATCAGAAGGTTGGATTGTTTTGCTATTTTTGATGACACTTTAATGTTTTTCACCTAATTGTGGTGTTTTAATATATACAGCCACACCTACTGCTTTTGTGTATGACAGATTTGTATTCTGTTTCTCTCTTTTAGACCTTCATAGTATTGAATCGTGGGAAGGTAATCTTCCGTTTTAACGCCACCCCTGCCTTGTACATCTTAAGCCCTTTCAACCCTCTGAGAAGGATAGCTATCCGAGTTTTGGTACACTCATATCCTTTCAGTGTTTGATATTGTTGTAACTTTGATAGATTTGTGGTGACAACATGCAAATGTTGGTTTAAATGAAACAATGTTAGAGACACCAACTTCCTAAAGGTCTAAATATGGGCGTTGTTTACATACACATGAAAAAAGAAAGTTTAAGATCAACTGTTTACATTGATAATACTACCAAACAAACAACATACCATGTATGAAATGCTCCAATATATTCCTTAACTTAAATATTCTTACAATGTTCAGTGTGTTGATCATGTTCACCATCCTGACCAACTGTGCTTTCATGACCCTCAGTAATCCCCCGGACTGGGCCAAGAATGTAGAGTAAGTTCTCTGCTCTTTATGTTCTGAGACAAAAGAGAAAAGTGATGTAGAAGTTCAGTCGGTACTGCCTTAAGAGTCTTCTATTCCACTGACTCACATTCAGGTTTACTTTCCTTTATCGTTTCTGACTACGAAACCCTCACTGGTAGGAAATAATAACGGGATAAACATATCAGTTTTTAGTCTAAACACAGTGTTGTTACAATACTGCATAAATTCAAGCTGTTTACTCCATTCAATTGTAACTGATCTCAAATAACAGACTAAATATGTTTTCACGGACGTTCAGCTACATTTATGATACACTGTAGCAGTGTTTCCTATGGGAAAAAAACAAAACACTTTCCTACTACTACAACCTTTCAAATGATCAGGCAACATCATTGTGATTAAATGCATGTAGCTCTATGGCATAACATGATTCAGTTCTTACAGTACATAGTCACTACTATAACTATAGTACTGGTACTATAGTTATAGTTAATATTATAATTGTAATTGTATTTATTTACGTTATTTAAGTTGCTCATGATCTACCATTACTTCAGATCTATTTTGGATTGGATGAGCTACAGATATTTCTTATGTGTCATCCCTAGTACCTACTGAGCTAAGGCAAGCCTGAAACACCATATTATTATTATTATTGGAATTATTGGAATAAATGTTAGCTAACATCTAGATGCGTAGACAAAATGTTTGACTTTACAAATCTATGTATTACAAAGATTGTCTGTGTCTTTTTGCCCCTCATCTCTCCCTCCCTCTCATACCTCCTTTAGGTACACATTCACTGGAATTTACACGTTTGAGTCACTTATAAAAATCCTGGCCAGGGGCTTCTGTGTGGGAAAGTTCACTTTTCTTCGAGACCCTTGGAACTGGCTGGATTTTAGTGTTATTCTTATGGCGTAAGTATTCTGACAAACATGGCCAGGATTAGCTTTTCACAATCTGACAGTGATTAAGATGCCAAATATGTTAAATGTCCAACAGGCCAGCAGTTTATTAAGTTACAGGAAATGTAAGAAGAGGACAGAGAGTTGTTCAGAGAGAATGGATAGAAATCTGAGCTTTCCTCTGTAAAGGATATGAGAAACAGTCTCATCTCTCAGTGACTTGAAATGCCTGATGACGATGATTTTTGTTGTTTGAATATCATTATTAATTTACAATGTTATTATATCAGTAGTTAAAATGTGGTTTGGGATGCACTGGTGGTCAGTTTTCATTGTCCCTGTACTTATAGCCACTAATAGCAACAGGCCTGCTCAGTTAACAAGCACTAACAACTGAACATTCAATTTGAAACCATAAAACACCGTACATTTGCAGTAAAGTTCCCACTCTCAGAAACCTCTTGGGAAGCTTGCGCTGATTGGGCAGTCTCCCTTATGCTGTGCAGGATTTGTGATGTTTCTTTTCCGTGAAGGAAGTCATCATGGCACTTTTTACTTTTTACTTGATTAGCTCTGGTTTAATTGATACGAACAGGTATCCCTCGGGGTACTGGGTTCAGTACCAGTCCCGGTGATGGTCTTTTTTGTAGAGCGTTTTGATATTTGAGTTTTGATTTGTTAGGTATGTCTGTGTGTGTGGCTCCTCTGTGCCTGTACAATGCTGTAGTAACTGTCCATTTGATCCTGCAGGTATATAACAGAGTTTGTAAACCTAGGCAATGTTTCAGCTCTGCGCACATTCAGAGTATTGCGAGCTTTGAAAACTATCTCAGTTATACCAGGTAAGGCTGCCTGTGGCTGCCGCCAACACTCTGCCATGTGTCCTCTGTGTGTGACTGTTTGCCATTTCCCCCCTCTCTGTTTCTCTCCCCCTCCCACCAACCTCATTTTGTATTTGTATTTGTGCGCCTGACTTGTGTGTGTGCGTTGGTGTGCGTGTGTGCGTGCTGCACTCCCTTCCCAAAATGCCCTATCTACCCCATCCCGTCCCTCCTCTTCCTTCTTCCCTTCCTTCCCTTACAGATATGTCACAGAGTTTGTGGACCTGGGCAATGTCTCAGCACTGCGAACCTTCAGGGTTCTGCGAGCCTTGAAAACTATATCAGTCATCCCAGGTGAGATAGCCACCGAGGTTCTTAGGAAATGCTGAAGGCTACCCAGCATTTCACTTACATCTGAGCCAACCTTCTCCCCTTTCCACACCTTCTCTCAGCTCATCTTACTTTAGCTGAGTTTGATATTCTTCACCATCCCTCATGCTGCCAGTAAAAGCTGGAATCTAACAAGATTCAGAGCTTTTAGACACTTCCTTTAAGGCAGAATTCTTTATGGCTGAAATCTATTCTTGCCTTGGGAGCTTCACAAGTAGCTCTTTGTGCACCGTTTCTTTTCTGCATGAGACATTGCTAAAGCCGATTTTTCTGGTGACAAGCACACATCTGTGTGTAGGGTTCTCCTCTGTGTGTTCTCCTTTGCATGTCCTGTTCAATGTTGTGGGTTTCTGTTCAGGAAATAGTGATAACGATCACTTGAGGCTGGGATGTGGCCTTTACACAATAACAATATTCACATCACAAACTTACACAACACTGATTTTTTTTTGTATAATAACAAATTATTATTGGCTCTTTATGTTGGGACACCTGGCTCAATTGCTTACACTGAGGTAAAGACCCTGTTCAGATATGTGGAGCTCTTCTTTTTGGTGCATTGCAAAGCCTAGTTCAAAGTAGCCAATCACTGTGTTGTGGACTTTTTAACACAATTGTTGGTCCCACTGTGTCAAGCAAGATTTTTGACTTTTGAGTATGGATGGCTTGATACAACATTTTATGTCCTTTTTATGAATGATACTGCAACTTAGGTATCAGTCCAATTTTTTCATTTCTCCTCCCACATGCCATGGACTGCCTTTGCTGAGGTGATAGTGTCCCCATTTATGACATGTTAAGTTAAGTTGACTATTTGGGCTTAGGTATTAGTATATATATCACAATGTCAAGTCTTTGATTTGTGCTTGTCTTTGTAATTGCACAAAAAGAGAGCTCAGTTTAATAGTCACTCTTACAAGAAAACAAGAACAAGACATTCCAACACAAACACCTGATCATATATTTTCAGTGCCTAACAGCACCACAGTGTTCAGAGTTCCATTATTGTCTGTCATACAGTAGATTCTTCATGATTAGCTGTGATCCGTGTCAGCTCAGTTCCTATATGACAACAAACTGGTCATACAGGAGCCTGCTCTGCAGATCGCCACAGCTGCTTGCTGCTGTTATCTTACAAGCTTCCTGCTTTTACAACATTGACTGTCACAAAGTCATAAAGCAGCTGTGATCTGTTTGCAATGTCCTTCTCCTTTCCTTTTGCCCTTTTTTTACCCATAGGCTTGAAAACCATTGTGGGCGCCTTGATCCAGTCAGTTAAAAAGCTGTCGGATGTGATGATCCTTACCGTGTTCTGCCTCAGTGTCTTCGCCCTTATTGGTCTCCAACTCTTCATGGGCAACCTGAGGCAGAAGTGCGTCCGCATGCCTGTTGCCGGCAATGCCAGCAACAGCAGCAGCAATGAAATGGATGATAGCATGTTTATCATCAACGCAACAGTGGATTTCAACACCGTGTTTGGAATGAATGTGTCTGAGAGCCCCTTCAACTGGACAGAGTACATGCGTGATGAAGGTAGGCCTAGAGACATTGGCCGTAGTGATTGCAACACCCTATAACAAATGCAGATAATGGCCTCTGAGCCCTTTCTTTTGCTATCATTTCACACCCTCCTATAGCTCAGCTGAGTGGCAGGAGGGTAATTCACTGATAGATAGTAGATAAAAGTAGATACAGTATATGCACCAGGTGTTTGACCATCGAAGTCTAACAATCGAACATAGTTTTTAAATCTCTGACGTACACTCAGTTAGTGAAAACAGAATTGTATTATCAAACTTGCTCCTAAATGAGGCTTCTCCTAAGCTCTTCAGAAGCCTGTAACACCTAGCTGGGGCCTTCAACCATGCAATACTTACTGTTAAAAAACCAATAGTTGATACCACACGGCTGTAGGAAGAAAACATTTTCCCAGGAACAGTTACATCATCTTTTACAATGTTAAGTTAAGTAGCCAAGCAGAAAAAAGCACAGCACACTTGTCAAATGTCCAGGGAGTGTTCCGTTGACCTGCATTAACATATACCTCAAATGTATTTTCTTTCCTCTCAGTTCTCCCTTTCTGTCCATTTCAGTTCACTCATGTGAAGTGGCTGTGACTTCCCACTGTCTCTTCTTCCCTCTAGATAATTACTATTACCTCCCCGGCCATAAAGATGCTCTTCTCTGTGGGAATGGCAGCGGCGCTGGGTAAGACTTAACTGTATGTGGCCAATTAAACACAGGGCACAGCTAAAGCACAGACTTATTTAGTCATTTATTTTACACACAAAATCCATCATTATTAGTGATAATAGATATTTGAGTAGTATTCATCTCAGTGTTAGTAGCAATTTTGATTTGTAAAACAAAAGGAGCCCCTGAGTAGTCAATCTGATCATGTCTGAAGTTTTATCAGGATAACCACATTATATTGTCATGTGTTAGATATGGGTCAAACTAATACAATGTTTAATGACTTTTTCTGTTCACAAAAAACTTAATCCTTTTACAATTTCAATTGATTTGCAGAAGAAAGCAATGTATTAATTACAAGACATATTTTCATCTATAATTATCCTTGAAAAAAATGGGAACTTTGGTAATCTCTTTGTTGTTGTTAGAACTTTTAAACATTTTTGTAAACAATATAAACTGTATTATTTGTGGGTCAACCTGGCAGGCTCTGCCCAGAGGGCTTTTCATGTATCAAGGCTGGTCGCAATCCAGACTACGGCTACACAAGCTTTGACACCTTCAGCTGGGCCTTTCTCTCTCTGTTTCGGCTCATGACCCAGGACTACTGGGAGAATCTATACCAGCAGGTTGGCAAGACACACGTTAAATTACAGGGACTTTTACAGGAAGTGGCAGCAGATAAGCCAACATTTCTCACTGGACTTGTCTCTCCTGTCTTTTCCTGTCCTGGATTCTTCAGACTCTGCGAGCTGCAGGGAAACCATACATGATCTTCTTTGTGCTGGTGATCTTCCTTGGCTCCTTTTATTTAGTAAACCTGATCTTAGCCGTTGTTGCCATGGCTTATGAAGAGCAGAACCAGGCGACCATCGAGGAGGCTCAGCAGAAGGAGGAGGAGTTCCAGGCCATGTTGGAGCAGCTGAAGAGACAGCAAGAGGAGGCTCAGGTAGGTTTGTTTTTCTTTTCTCTTTTTTAAAATAAAGGTAACATTCATCACGGAAGGTAATGTGAAGATTATTGAAGCAGATTTAATATGTGATGACACAGATGAGATGTGATGTAGTGCTGATTTTCAATTTGATTTTAAGACAAGTGGTTAAGATAAGCTCTTGGCGTCTAACAAGGATGACTTGGTGGACTAGTGACGTTGCTTGGACAACTGACTAATTCACTGCAGGACAAGTACATATTTGACCTACATGTCAAATTCAGCTAATTTGGAAATAATTTACAAACAGTAGTGTAAAAGAGGGGATAATGATAAAGATATGAAAATAGTCATTAACAAAGATTCTGCGTTACATTTACCCTTACAATGAATGATCCAATACTATGTTCTGACAACAGAAAAGTTATATTTGTGAGACCATTTGATATTAAACCAGGACATTTGTCATGAATAAAGGTTGACACAGAATTAACCAATCCCTTTGAGTAAGATTTCATTTAGTCCAAACAGGTTCCAGGATATAAAAATATACTACACAGGATACACTTTGGCTAATTTGGATCTGGCAACTAGGTGATACTGATCCAGAAAGTTATATCTAATTATTCGCAAAAAAGGTTTTCAGGATTATATTTAAATACAACATTATACCAGTATATGTGAATGATAAAACAGAATTCTCAGTGTATTTAGCACCACCTACAGACTGAAGAGGAGTTATATGAATTTTAGGTTCTGGACCCATTACATGTTATGGTGCAGTTAATTGCTATGCTAAATATTTTGCAGTTATTTTTCTATACTTTAAGTAGTCATATTTATTGTGACAAAATCAGTTTGAGTTGATGTCGTTCGCCCTCCACACTGATAGAACAAACTCTGCATAAGCTTTTATGGTAGTTGAGAAGCACTGTAAATCACTAATGTCAACATGTTGCTTGTCACAAAAAATGTATACAAGATATTTAAGGATTTGGAAAACAGGGATCCATTTTTAGAATGCTTCTTTGGCTGAATTGGCTCTTCATGCTGCCACTGCTGCTCCCAGCTGCCAGGCATTCTCCACTGCTCCATTCACCCCAGAGCCTTCGAGACAAGCATGGGTTACCATAACAACAACTGTGCTTGTGCTCTTATTGGCTGGCAGGTTGCTGCAGCAGCAGCTACAGCCACGGAGAGCGGAGAGTACAGCGGGCGAGGAGGCCCCACCTCTGAGTCATCCTCAGGGACGTCTAAGCTGAGCTCAAAAAGCGCCAAGGAGCGACGCAACAGGCGCAAGAAGAGGAAACAGCGGGAGGAGGAGGAAGAGAGAGAAGGACGGAAGTTCCACAAGTCTGAGTCTGAAGACAGCATCAAAAGATCTAGCTTCCGCTTCTCTATTGATGCCAATCGGCTCTCTTATGAGAAGCGCTGTTCTTCGCCCAACCAGGTGATAATACCCCATCATTTCAGCAGATGAGCTGTCCTCCACGTATAGAAATATTTATAGAAGTAAAACTGAATAGTATTTATGTTTTTTTTCTACATGGTGAAGTTGTTTTGGGGAAAAAGGTAAAAACATAACAACCGCCTGCCCACTTTATACAAATACAGTGGGACTTCAAGATACGAGCTACTTGAAATACTTGAATTGAATAGTTTTCCAAGTTACAAGTTAGTAACTTTTGCAAGATTTTCCTCGTGATACGAGGAAACACTGAGTTACGAGTGCTCAACTGAGCTCCAATTTTTTCACTAGACACTGCCGCGTTGTTCAGCTCACTGTCCCTCACTGGGTTATTTTTTCACATTTTTTTAACAATAATCTAAAATGTTTTCTAAATTATTATTATTTTATATTATCAATATAACAATTGTCTGTGCCTTCTACTATTTTGTGACTCTTACTTGTTTTATGTAACAGTTTGGTTTCTCTTGTATTCTTGTATCAGTCGTTGCTCAGTATTCGTGGATCCCTGCTATCTCCTCGAAGGAACAGCCGCACCAGCCTCTTTAGCTTCCGTGGCCGGGCACGTGACATGGGCTCGGAGAACGACTTTGCTGATGATGAGCACAGCACCTTTGAAGAAAGCGACAGCCGACGTGGGTCTTTATTTTTGCCACGTCGCGTTGAGCGCCGCTGCAGTGTGGTCAGCCAAACCAGCCTGGGAGTGCCGAGGGTCATACTGCCAGCCAACGGAAAAATGCACTGCTCTGTGGACTGCAATGGTGTGGTGTCCCTTGTCGGTGGAACTTCAGTCACAACCTCCCCTGTAGGTCTCCTGCTGCCTGAGGTGACTCATGTCACGTTGTTTCATCACTCTTCTTTTAACTAATATTCACCTAATTTTTCTTTCAAAACATTATAAAATAACAAAAATAAAGATGGGTCACACAAATCTTTAGATACAATCTGCTTTATAGTTAATGTTTACAGTTAATATTAGCAATATCCCTCAACTTTTTAACTCCAGCCACATACATAGCAAAAACAAATTATAGTAGAGCCATAATTTAGCTAAAACTCAAAAGAAAAAAATATAAATTATAGTAAGACTGGGAATGAATAATATTGGTTATTTCTAACAACATGACCAGAAGTAGGTTGTGGGTCACAACCCAGAAATGGCCTGCAACCCAGTTTTCAGTGGGTTGCATGCCTCTGCAAAATAGTTTGAGATGAAAATCTGCAGTCTCACCTATTAACACCAGATAAAGTGACCTGTAGTATATCAAACAGTACCTGACACATTGTGAATAAGCTAAATATTAGCAAAACACAAGCCCAGATATATGAAAGGAGTTGAAAATCCCACATACATCTGCTCTTACAGTACAACATGTAGGAAAGGTTATGTGAGAGATAAAGGTTTGACAGAAAATAAACCAAATTTTAGCCACAATATTCATCTTATTCTACCTGATCTTTCCTTAAAAATGCATTATTTTGTTTTTATTAATCTAATGTTATGTTTTCTTTCTATTGTGTGCTCCCTCAGGGAACGACTACAGATACTGATCTGAGAAAAAGGCGGTCAGGATTTCTTCAGCCGTCCATGGACTATCTGGATGAACCTGGAGCCCGCCAGAGAGCCATGAGTGCAGCTAGTATTCTCACCAATACCATGGAAGGTCTGAACCAACTGCATAATTTGGGCCATAATGAACACTTTCCCAGCATATTTATATAATGTGCTTATCTTCTTTTTCCAGAACTGGAAGAGTCTAGACAGAAGTGCCCCCCCTGCTGGTACAGATTTGCCAATACCTGTCTGATCTGGGATTGTTGTCCAGCGTGGTTGAGAATAAAGGAAATTGTCAATATGGTGGTGATGGACCCATTTGTGGATCTGGCCATCACAATTTGCATCGTTCTTAACACTCTCTTCATGGCCATGGAGCATTACCCCATGACCGAGGAGTTTGACACTGTGCTCACTGTGGGAAACCTGGTGAGCATACTGTAAATTACTGAGTTAAATGGAAAAGAAAGACTGTCCTTCTCACCACTGTCATTATCAACCTCAGGTGTTCACAGGCATCTTCACAGCAGAGATGTGTTTCAAGATCATCGCTCTAGATCCCTATTATTACTTCCAGGAGGGCTGGAACATCTTTGATGGCATCATTGTCAGTCTTAGCCTGATGGAGCTTGGTCTGTCTAATGTGGAAGGCCTGTCTGTGCTCAGGTCCTTTAGATTGGTAAGATCACAGACAAATACAAAATGAATATGCCCAGCCTGTTTTTTGTAGAAAATAAAAATCCATAGTAGTTCATGAGTATTACAAAATGTAGCTTAAAGATTTCGAAAAGGTTACTTAAAGCTGTCTACCTATAGCTTATCTTTATGAAAAAAGAGGTTTACTGCATGGTAAATATGAATATATTTTTCCTTCCAAACAGCTGAGGGTATTCAAACTGGCCAAGTCGTGGCCCACTTTGAACATGCTCATAAAGATCATCGGCAACTCAGTTGGCGCTCTGGGCAACCTGACTCTGGTGCTGGCCATCATCGTCTTCATCTTTGCTGTAGTGGGCATGCAGCTGTTTGGCAAGAGCTACAAGGAGTGTGTGTGTAAGATCAGCAGTGACTGTGAGCTGCCACGGTGGCACATGCACGACTTCCTTCCCCACCGCTGGCATATGAACGACTTCTTCCACTCCTTCCTCATCGTGTTTCGAATCCTATGTGGGGAGTGGATAGAGACCATGTGGGACTGCATGGAGGTGGCAGGTCAGACCATGTGTCTGATCGTCTTCATGATGGTTATGGTCATCGGAAATCTTGTGGTATGACCCTTTTTTTTCTCCTATTGGCTGAAGTAATGACATCTGCTTATATATACCCCAGGAGTGTAAAAATAAATCACATGACCTGATGTTTCTGCGATCTTACCCCTGAGCTAGAAAGCGGTCAATAGTAATTTTTTTTGTCCTGTGTCATCTTCCTCCCAGGTTCTCAACCTCTTCCTGGCTCTCCTCCTGAGCTCATTTAGTGCTGACAACCTGGCAGCAACTGACGATGATAGCGAGATGAACAACCTGCAGATTGCCGTGGGCCGCATCCAGCGTGGCATCGCTTTTGTTAAATCTACAGTGCGCCAGTTCCTCCGCAGCTTCTGCTTTGGCAAAGGCAGTAAGCAATCTGGACTGGCTGAAGAGAGTAAACCCTTGGATGAATTGCACAGCAATGGAAAAGGAAACTGCATCTCCAATCACACTGTTGTGGAGATCAGCAAAGATCCAAGTAGAGTGTTCATGACCGAGGGGAATGGAAGGCCAGGAGGAGTAGTGGTTGGAGTCAGGACCGGTGGGGACACCACGGTGAAGTACCCTATAGAGGAATGTGACTACATGTCCTTTATTCACAACCCCAGCCTGACCGTAACGGTGCCCATTGCTGTTGGGGAGTCAGACTTCGAGAACCTTAACACTGAAGACTTCAGCAGCGACTCCTCAGATGTGGAGGGCAGCAAAGAGGTAGGATGAGTGATGAAATGTCTTTTGTCAAAATCTTAACCTCGGACTCAGAGGAACTAGCATAGAAATTTGCAGAGAGAAGTTAAAAGGTTTGAAAATGATCTACTAATACTTTGAAGTGCTGTGTCACTGAGGGGTTATTCAGAAAGTCTAAAGCATTTGGCAAGAGAAGAAATGGCTGTGACAAATCATGACATATTTGCTTTTCGCCCACACATCAGTTTCAGAATGTGAGTCGTTTCGGGTGTGTCACATTTCCGGATTGATTTACAGTTTCATGCGTTACAACATCAAGGTAGACCATAAAGATGACCATGTTCTGCTGTATTGATTATTATACATTGAAACAGAATAGCTTCTGGGTGTTGACATGTGCTTTAATATTCAGGTCGTCTCTTTGTAGTTAATTTTTGTTGCTGTTTAGCAAATAGCAGGTGAGCCCTTGTGTTGCTGTACTGACACAAGGTCACAAGTGTGACCTGCCCTTGACTGTGTTGTCAAATGGGTATGATTTAAAGCAGCTCAGATTTAAAAACAAATTCTAACCATTGAGTTGCACACTCAAGTACAAATACTCGGTATTATGCAGCCTTTATGATACTATTGCTGAAACATACTGATACAGCTAGGCAATACTAGTACTGACTGATGCATTAGTTAGCCTTTCAACGACATCCAACAAAAAAAAAGTATTGCCATTGAAGTTGCCTGTAAAAATGATCAATGTTTTGTTTCTAGGAAAATGCATTGAGGTTTGCTAAACTGTTTCTGTGTTTCTTAGCAGTGGAGCAGTGATAACAGACAAAAGGTTAAATTATGGTGTTTCTGACTTACTTTGTTTTAATTCCCCTATTTGTTATTGCAGCTTTGTCACAGACGCTCTCAAGGTTTTCAGTGAGAAGAGAATTGTAAGACCACTTTATTGTACCTTAGCACTGACCATGAGGACTGCCTATGCCATTTACAGACAAACAACATATGTTTTCCCATACCTTCAGTCGATTGCCCATTTCCGTCCTTTGCCTGGTCTGCCCTCTGTCCCTTCCAAATCGTACCCACTTTTACTTTTTGACCCAACCGCCCTCTACTCCGTCTTCTTCCATACAACAGGTCTCTCGATGCTGTAAGTTTTCCCCAGCCTTTTCCACCCTTCATGATTTTACCTTGAAGCATCAGGCTGTATTGCAATTACAAGCCATTAGGAATGAACAAAACCACCCTGTTTCATTGACAAATTAACTCATCAAACATGGTCTTTGCTTTTGAGTTCATTGCCTGGTTTTGACTTGTCTGTTCTTTGGTGGGGGGTGTGGGAGGGGGCAATGAAGATAGAGCATAGAAGGAGGAGGGAAGATGTGGACAAAATGAAGAGAGACAAAAAGAGGGAATCATGTGTGGTGGTGAGAAATGAACGGTGTAAAGTCCCATCAATACACCCATGGAAACCCTGTTGTTTCTGTTAAGCACAGAACATTGTGGAATGATGCAAGAATCATTCACTATGACATATTTTTTAAAATTTAAATGTGATAAAACATCACAGTTTAGATCAACTCTACAGTATACTTACAGCCACTTCATTAGTTACACAATGGTAATACCAAGCCGTGATTTCTTTGGGCTGGAGAGCTGCCTAGATCGCCACAACAGCTGCAGATCTGTTGGCTTTTGACATTTGTGATATCACATACAATTCTGCTAGAAGAAGCCACGAGAAAATTGGTTTGGTCATAAAGTCCTGGACATGGTCATATAATCACATGGGCAGATTGTCACATGTTCTCTGGGCTCAGCTAGTTCTTTAGCACTAAGATTGTCCTTTTTATATATGGCCCCCACAGAGGGTTTAATTTGAGCCAGAATAAGATATGGCACCTCTGACGTTGGATGGGCCACAGCCTTAGCATTAGGGGGTCAATTATGGGAGCCAGGAGTTTTTTCCTCCTAAAAATAATTTATAACCTGTTTTTTGTGTAAGATTGTATTAAATCATATTATTCAATTCAAAATGTAAAATACAAAAAATATATTGATTTAATTTAATTTGATGTTAGTGTTTTCAACTGTCCAAATTGGATATAACCAAACATTTTTCAATGATAATAAATTAAATTAAAAACATATCTAAAAAGTAAAAAATCTTTACTGAACTGAAACTGAAAGCCAGTACAGGGTGTGATTGACCCTGTGATTGTATAATAATAAATATTGAGGTTTAGAAGTGATTGAACAAGTTCACCTAATGAAGTGGCTGACAAGGTTAAAAAGAGTTGGAAAATTTAGCTGTAACTCCCTTTAGTCGTTACTACAGGCCTCTGAGTAAGTTATGAACATCCTGATAGGTTCAATTGAGAAAAGGTAAGAATGTAGAGAGAGCAGGAGGAAAAAACCCTATCGCAGAGCGATGTAAGCAGCATGCTTCCATCATTCCTATGCTGTATTAGCTGGGTCACACGGCAATCAGGGCTGCTGCACTGTCTAGGATGACATGTTCCTCTCCTTCACACAGGTAGGCAGATCAGACACTATAAGACTCTATAATAAGATGTTTGTGAGATAAAAAAGAAAGAGCCTTGCCCACACCAAACTGTCTTGCCCCATGCAGACAACACACATTAACACACAATGTGGATGGATAAAGATGGTTTGAGTTCTTTAGATAAGAAGGAAAGGCTGTGCACAGTGAAGTGTGCTGTGGAACATCAACACGTGATGTTCTGATCTCTACTTAGCTCTTCATGCTTTTATGTATGCAAATGTGCTAATCTAATAATGTCTTTAAAAGCAATACAATGAAAGGAACACCAGACCACATGCTGTCTTATTAACAGTGCACAGAACTGGTTTTTGCTGGTAAGCTAATGTGGTTATTCAACCCAAACAAAAGAAGCTTGTTCACTGCTTCAAGGAATGGAAATAATGTGTTTTCATGTCACTGAGGAAATGCAGACAGAGGTAGAAGCCCCTCTTGGTGGTGCCTTTTGCTCTAATGGTGAGGATTAGACTCATTTTAATACATGGGGAAGGTTTGTGACAAATTGATTGTAGCTGATCTTTTTTTTCAGTTGACATGAAAATACTGGAGCACATGTTCTTGCTTGGTACTATTTTATAGGCTTGGGTTTGTTATTGCACCAGAATATTGCATGCACTTTCCCTCGGTTCTGAGGTCACATCAAACGTACCTACAGTGTATTTCGATAACTTTGACCACCACGTGGCACCTGATGCCAACTGGCATAATTTGGACTTAAGAAAAGGTCATATTAAACCCTGTATGTACGTTTGACCGATGCTGCATGCAATGATGATGATGATGATGATGACAGTGACTGTACAGAGCCCAACTCTGTGAGCTATAACAATGTCTGGCCTCCACAGTAAGGTATACACCTGGCACTGAAATACATGTGAATGGAAAGAGAAGCTCAGAAGGTTGGGTCACATCACCTATAGAATTCAATGCACACTCTGTAGAATAACTTTGTGCTCTGGTATTCTTCCTTGCCTGTGCAGAAGATTAATGTAGAGCCGCGGCCTCTGAGCTCATCAGAGGGGAGCACAGTCGATATTCGGCCCCCAGGTGATGGGGTGGATTCAGTGGAACTTGAACCAGAGGAGTCCCTTGACCCCGAGCCCTGCTTCACTGAGGGTAAGACAAAAGGGGATGTAAGTAGAAGCTTGTGTACGGTAACATATAATAAAATAAGTCCTGTGTTCTTCCCACAGTGTGAAAATTCTCAAATGGGCCTCTCTACTGCTATTGCTCAGTGCACATCTAACACAGCTACTAAATGACAGCAGATACAAATGTTATTAAACCCAAAACATGTATTTTTCAAAATCAGCCAAGCATTTCACAACTATCATGCAGTACCTGCTTTGACCTCTAGGCTCACTAATTCCCAATTGAAGAACTTACATCTAGCTCATAATCTTGGACACATGTGTCAAACTCAGGCCCGGGGGCCAAATCTAGTCGGCAGTCTAATTATATTTGGCCCGCAAGATCATATCAAATATTTACTAGAGTTGGCCCACCAGTATAAAGCCGGCAGAATTTCTATTATTAGCATTGTATGTTATAGCACATTGTTTTTCTTTTTGTTGTTGGCCCGTGAAGAGATTGACATTAAAAAGAAACTCTAAAGGCTCCAGACAAAGAGACATAATAAGAAACAAATACTACTGATGTGTTTTATTTCAAATTTAATTTCTCTAATGCGTTTGTTGTTTCAGATTCAAGGTTTAGGCAAAACTCAACTTTGACTAAATTTTTTTTGCAGTACATTTTTCAATAATAGGTTTGGCCAGTCACTTCATCCCAGTTTTTAATTTTGGGGGGAAACACACACTTGGATGCGGTACAACTACCCTAGTGTCAGTGCACCCTCACACAACCCCCACATTCACACCTTGATCCTAGTGATCACACCTTTCCTGCCAAGTTGTTAGGGTGTGGTCACCTCCTTCGTCTTTTCTGCTACTCAACTACTCTGAGGCAAAATACTAATTTTTCCAGCAGTTAGAACTTCAGAAACCACTGGCATGAGAAGTGAAATGTCTTCTAAAGACCAAGACAGTCCTGTTGCCCTCAACTAAATTGCTTCCGAGGTTCTGAATATGAATGGAGAATGTAGTTCTGGATACTTCCATACTTACAGTTTCCACTGTCGACAACAGAAAAACCATCTTAAAACATAGGATTAAGATTTAGCCTATTTGAAATGCTTGTTTAGATGAACATTTAGTGCATCCTTTTTGATATTTTCCACTGTATGACTGTTTCCTCTTGTCAGTATTTGGAGCTTTGAGAATAATTAACATTATCCATATCTAATGATGTCGATGCAGCCACACCAAAATTGACCTTTATTCTCAGTAAATTCTGCGTGGCCTGTGCCTGATTTGTGTTCTTGCTCTTCCTCAGGATGCGTACGCAGGTTCCAGTGCTGCCAGGTCAATGAGGATGGGAGCAATTACAAAAACTGGTGGACACTCAGGAAGACCTGCTTCATTATAGTGGAGCACAACTGGTTTGAGTCCTTCATCATATTCATGATACTGCTCAGCAGCGGGGCTCTGGTAGGTCCAGATTCTTCTCCTGGATGTAAATTCAAACCTGAGTTGTAGTAATCCAAGAATCCTAAGCAGATTTTTATTATTTACCCCAATTTAATTTTTCTACTAAGGAAGAGGTGTGTTTTTAAAAAAAATCTGTCACCACTAATTTGTCTTTTCCCAGGCATTTGAGGATGTTTACATTGAACAGCGAAGAACCATCAAAACTATGCTAGAGTATGCAGATAAGGTCTTCACCTATGTCTTCATTTTGGAGATGCTGCTAAAGTGGGTGGCATATGGCTTCGTCAAGTACTTTACCAACGCCTGGTGCTGGCTAGACTTCCTCATAGTAGACGTATGTATATGTGAAGTGAGACTGTTTTGAAAAAACATAACACTGAGTCTGTGCATATGATGTTGTTGTTGTGGGTCAGTCGAGGAAATCTAAAACTACATGGATGGATGGTGTTGTTTGAAACTGTTGTTCAAAACAAACACACATATATTTACACTATAATAATATAATCAGGTATGACTGAATCACAGTTAATCATTGTCACAATTTATTATGATTTATCAAGATTTATTTCTTAAATATGACAGATGTTCTAGAATAGAAAGACAAAAGATTTTTTTATTCATGACTAATCCAAATGAAAATATTGATGTGGAAAAAAAAATGCAGATGCTTAACCAGATCTTTCTAGAGTTGGTGGAGTTTTGTAGTCATCAACATGTTGACGGTGGCTTGTAGGACCCGCCTTGTGTGCGGGAAAGTAGAAAAGGGAGGGAGCAGCGTCTCTTATTCTCCTGCCTACTGTTTATTCTGCAACAGCACAAGCATACGCTATATTTTGATTCTTGTTCAAATGTCCTGCCAGTTAAGCAACAAACTTAGCTGTGATTTGATCTGGCCCTTTCCTGCTTTCCCTGTTTGTGTCACAAATTCACACTTTTTTCATTTTTTTTATTGTTAGACAAATGTAGTAATATTTTCATCATCCTCTTTCAGCCCTTCATAACTTCTAATTGTTTCCATAATTAAAAAAAGAAGCAACAATAAGTTCATATTAGTGGAATTATTAGATAAACAGTGCCAGTTATTCTGGCCATGTGATCCACGTGTGTTACGTGTTCATGTTCATTTGTTTTGAATCTCTGTCTCTGGAATCTTTTCTTTGCTCATCTCTGGACACATTCTTTTCCCAGGTTTCTCTTGTTAGCCTGGTAGCCAATGCTCTGGGCTACTCGGAGCTCAGTGCTATCAAATCTCTCAGGACGCTTAGAGCCTTGCGGCCCCTGAGGGCCCTGTCTCGGTTTGAGGGAATGAGGGTAAGGATGGGGTCAGCAACTGTGACGAGAAGAAATAACATACTTTCTAAATAGTGTGTTTCATGGGTGAGCTTAAAGTAAGGCAGTCCTGACTCATACAGCATTCTTTGATTGGATATTGTTTTGTTAATCTTTATCAAAATAAATGTAAATGTAAAGAAATAACTGTAACTGATCTGCCTAGATACTTTCAGCTACCCCATTTGTTTTTTGCTCTCATTTATATAATTGTGTCCATATTGTTAGACATGTTAGACAACATATTTTCTTAGGCTTAAGCTACACTGGATGCAAACGTCATTGAAGTCACACTTCCCACACTTTTTTTCACAGCAAAACAAGAAAGTAAAAATTAAGTTTAATCACAGCCTAATGGTCCGGATGTGTCTTACTTCAAATACTTGTGTTACTAATATGAAACTTCTAAAATACTTTATATTTTATTTATATTTTATTTTGCCAGGAAATAGTAAAAAAAACAACCATTTATTAAACATTTAGTCCAGAAAATAGCCAAAGAAAAAGCAAAAGGGTAGCTCAAACGTAGTACAACAGTACTGTAAAGTAAGGCAATATACTGCCAAGTTTCAAAACAAGAAATGCTTTGAGAAAATAGCCCTAAAGCTGTGAGGGGATAAACTAATATAAAAATGGCCATTTTTATAAACTGAATGAAGTCAGTTGTTGTGCATTGAATATGAATACAGACCCAGGCATCGTGCACTGTGTCCAGTTTGGTTCAGGTCTTAGTTGCTTTTCTGCTTCTGAAAAAAACTCCACAGTAAAATAATAAGATGTCATTTTGTTTGTAGTTTAATTTTTGGTGTTGAACATGCATTTAACGCTTTGTTAGTATTTCTATATATTTGCAGTCAAGCAGTAAACTTGCATTTTTCTCTCTCTGCATGTCTTTCTTTTCTTATTGTGTAACCAGTATTAAATGTATATAGCTGTTATTAAAATGTTGCTTTCTGATGTTGCTTGTGTGGTGCCTTCGACCTGTAATTTATTTCTTTGTTGTGTGTCTTTTTTCATTTACAGTCAAACACAGTGTTGTGACTCCATCTCGCCTCTCTAAGGTTTTGTTCTGTTTTGCTTTTTTTACCTAGCAGATTTTACACTTCTTCTATCTTCTTCTTCTTCTTTCCAGCTGTCATATGCTTACAGTCTTTCTGTAGATGTGCATGATGATGAGAGCTTTACGTTTGCTTAATAAACACACACTGCTAGCACTGTATGGCTTTTTAAATCATTGTTAGCTGTCCGTCTGAAAATGGAATCAGTTGTTGTCCTTAGCAGCAGTTAAGTCTATTGATGACTGTAATAGGCCACTTGTGTATCATTCAGACATTATTTAAAAAGTCCTTGTAGACAATTGGACTGAGTTTGTCCATCTGTGTCCATTGTCCTAGGTCGTTGTAAATGCGCTGTTGGGAGCCATCCCCTCTATCATGAATGTGCTGCTGGTCTGCCTCATCTTCTGGCTCATCTTTAGCATCATGGGTGTCAACCTATTTGCAGGGAAATACTACTACTGCGTCAACACCACAACAGATGAGCCCTTTCCCATCACCCAAGTAAACAACAAGACAGACTGCTTAAATTTGGCCAATGACAGTGCCCGCTGGAAAAACGTCAAAATCAACTTTGACAATGTTGGTGCTGGCTACTTGGCTCTGTTACAAGTGGTGAGTTTAGGCTTGTTTGATCCTTTATATATTTATATATATATATGACATTTGGTGCAAATACTTTTTGTCCCAATAAATATATATAAACATTATATTATTATTTTGTGTGTACCTGTGCAAACTGTTTTACAGTGTGTAGGGTTCTTCTTTCTCTCATCTTAATCTTAACCTTTTCTGTTTTAAGGCCACATTTAAGGGATGGACGTTTATAATGTATGCAGCTGTGGATTCTCGTGATGTAAGTTTTTGGGGTTTTTTTCAATCAAGTATGTTACTGTAAATACATTAAATTTGTAAATAATTCCAAACTCAACCTGTGAATTTTTCATCACATTTCTTTAGGTGGAGGACCAGCCAGATTATGAAGTGAACTTGTACATGTACCTCTACTTTGTCATCTTCATCATCTTTGGCTCCTTTTTCACCCTCAACCTGTTCATTGGTGTCATCATCGACAACTTCAACCAGCAGAAGAAAAAGATGAGTTGTTTTTCCTAACATTCCTCTTGAATCATGGATGTTACTAGGTATAAGCCCAAATGCTGTAAATATGGAAAAGGCATTTAATAAGGTTGGACATTTTTAGAGGACATTCAATACCAAGGCATTTGGAGGAAACTGACACCTGTGTTACCTAGTTTGTGGTTCAAGATGGTGGAATGACTTGAGCATCAGTTGCTGCATGGTTGATTTTTAGTCCGTGTCAGCTCAGTCCTTGTTGAGGTCCCATGGATTAAAGAGGTAGCCTGAGCCACAGAGAAACACCAAGTGTGTGCAGGTGTATGTTAATGGTGGTTGTTCTGACTCTTAGGCCTGTCCTTTAATATGGCAAATGCTAAAAAACAGGAATGTCAGTTCCTGCAGAGGGAGTGAGAGGACACAGTGAATGTGTGAATCATTTCAGCAGTGGCTCAGCTGCATCAACACACAGAGAGCTGTTGACACTGTCCTCTAGATATGTATCCCAGACATCAGTGAGTGCGGTAGGAGTCTGAACGATGACTAGGGTGACAAGAGGACTCAGTTAAAACTGCACGTCTCTGTGTGTCGTCCAACAACTTTACCTCAGGGAAGTTACTCAATGTTTTTTTTTTTTCAGTGCATACATTATTCAGAAATTTTGGTGGAAAATCAAAATACAGTGTAAATGTAAAAATGATAGGAAAATAAATAGAATGTAAAAGCATTGGCTGAACAGTGTCAAAGTTCATCTGATGCATCAATTCAAACATATTGAAAACAGTATAACTGTACAGTGTGTGTATCAAGTAAATCCAGTTTGATATTAAGCAGTGTCCTCTTTCCAAATCGACACTGGTTTTGATGCAGTGCCATTGCCAGACTATAATTTTACTTCAATTGTTGTTTTACAGCAGACTTGTTAAAAAGCCTTATTATAATGTGAGAAATGCTGGAGCAGTTGGAGTCTATGTTTTGTTTAATTATAAAGTGAAAAACCTTACCAAGACTGTCCTGTAACATACAGTATGTGGTCATAACCAGCTTTTCCCTTTGTCTTGTTTCTTTACTTTGGAGGCCAGGATATCTTCATGACAGAAGAACAGAAGAAATACTACAACGCCATGAAGAAACTGGGTTCCAAGAAACCTCAGAAGCCCATTCCTCGGCCCACAGTGAGTGCCTGCTGTGGACTTCCGTCTGATTGGTTGAATATTTTGAAGCTGCAGGAAATCCATTGTTCTCATGTTGCTTCCAATGATTCTCTTTTCCCATTAGAACACATTTCAAGGCTGCGTGTTCGACTGCATTACAAAACAGGCCTTTGACATCGTCATCATGATTCTTATCTGCCTTAACATGGTGACCATGATGGTGGAGACGGATGACCAGACGCCAGAGATGGCCCTGAATCTTTACTGGATTAACATGGTCTTCATTGTGTTGTTCACTGGAGAGTGCGTCCTGAAAATGATCTCCCTACGTCACTATTATTTCACCATTGGCTGGAATATATTTGACTTCGTGGTAGTGATTCTGTCGATCGTTGGTAAGGAGGCGTTTGAGTTCCTTTCATGTCGTCCAGTAAGACTGCAGATTTTGTCAATATGTGTTTTTAAACTTGACTTTCTTTTGCAGGAATGTTTCTGTCTGAAGTTATTGAGAAATACTTTGTGTCCCCAACATTGTTCCGTGTGATCCGATTGGCCAGGATAGGCCGCATCCTCCGTCTTATCAAAGGTGCCAAAGGCATACGGACTCTTCTCTTTGCCTTGATGATGTCACTTCCTGCCCTCTTTAACATCGGCCTCCTCCTCTTCCTGGTTATGTTCATCTATGCCATCTTTGGCATGTCCAACTTTGCCTACGTCGTGCGTGAAGCGGGTATTGACGACATGTTCAATTTTGAGACCTTTGGGAACAGCATGATCTGCTTGTTTCAGATCACCACCTCGGCCGGCTGGGACGGACTCCTGGCTCCAATTCTGAACAAGAGGGAGCCTGACTGTGACAGCCAGGTCGAGCACCCAGGAAACCCTTACAGGGGCAACTGTGGCAACCCATCGGTGGCAATCTTCTTCTTTGTGAGCTACATTATCATCTGCTTTCTCATAGTAGTCAATATGTACATCGCAGTCATCCTGGAGAACTTCAGTGTGGCAACAGAAGAGAGTGCTGAGCCGCTGAGCGAAGATGATTTCGAGATGTTCTATGAAGTGTGGGAGCGCTTTGACCCGGATGCCACTCAGTTCATGGAGTACAGCAAGCTTTCAGACTTTGCTGACGCACTCGATCCACCACTGCGAATACCCAAACCTAACATGATTCAGCTCATCTCCATGGACCTGCCCATGGTCAGTGGTGAGCGCATCCACTGCCTGGACATTCTGTTTGCATTCACCAAAAGAGTGTTGGGTGAAGGTGGTGAGATGGACATGCTACGAGGGCAGATGGAGGAGCGCTTCATGGCCTCCAATCCTTCAAAAGTGTCTTATGAGCCCATTACCACCACGCTGCGCCGCAAACAGGAGGAGATGTCGGCCACCATCATCCAGAGAGCCTTCCGTAACTACATGATCCGTCTCGCGATGAAGAAAGCCTCCTGTCTTTACAAAGAGCAGCTGAAGGAGGGCGTGCGTGACCCGGACAAGGATGTCATGGTCATCTGCAAGTTTACTGAGAACTCCACCTCAGACAAAACTGACATGACGGCGTCCACAGCCTCGCCGCCCTCCTACAACAGTGTGACCAAATCGGACAAGGACAAATACGAGAAAGAGAACAGAGAAAAGGAAAACAAAGGGAGAGAGGGAAAGAAATAGACTTTTTTAAATTTTAGAAAAAGGAACAAAACACACACACACAAAATGCATCAGAAACACATGGGACATTTGTTTACGGCTTCTAACAAGAATGGTAAACACAGTAGACTTTGGCTTGGGTGTTGATTGAGCTGAGAGTTGCTTCACCGGTTAGGCCTCACAGTGGAGATTATTAGTTATATTGTCAATGTATTTCCTCACAGGGCACAAAAAGGAAACATAATCCAGCAGACACTGCCAGTGACTGAGTGGAACTTGATGGGAAAAAAGCCTCTGCAAATGCTTGTGATTTTCTAAGTGCTGGTTTCTATCCAACACACTCCAGTGTACCGTTACGTTGTCTAGCTAGTGCCGCTGCTACTACTATGAATCCAGTGTCTTGACTTTAACAGTGAATGAAATGACTTCACCAGTAGTCTGCATTTGTCTTTTTCTGTTTTGTTTTTTAAAGAATGAATGCTTTGTACTATTTTTTATTATTTTAATCTTTTTTTTTCTTATTGTAAGAACGAGAATCACCAAAGGTGAGTGAAGGCCAGAACCCATCACACTGCTGAACAAACATCCACCCAGAATATGATAGTCTGAAACATGTCAGCAACGTAAAGTGAGGGTCACGTGTACTGCGCTCAAATATGTTTTTCCTTGAGTTTCCAAATCCAGAGATGGTGAATATATGCAAACATTAATAGCAGAAAGATGTTTTTTTTTTTAAAAAAAAAAAAAAAACAACTAATAGAGAAAGTGATTAAAAAAAAAAAAAAAACAACTGGTAGAGAAAGTGATAAGCTTTATTTATTTAACCTACACAACAACTATAGGTTGGTCCAAGAAAGCCTCCTTCTTTCTTAGACCAACTCCTTTTTCTGGCTAACTACACTTGGAATATATACTAATGATGTTCTTGAGTGAGGTGTGATATGAGAAACTTGCTGAACAAAAGTACCGTGGTACTAGTGCTGATAAGTTCATTTACTGTTACCACTATTTTAGGAAGGTAAAAAAGCAACACTGTTTCACTGTTTTGATTGATCACTACTTTAGCTCTAATCTGTTTACCACAAGAGGCAGCACCAGACCAGCAGACAGGCTCAAACGAACGGCTTTTATAAAAAGAAGGCATTTGTTACAGGAAAACAACCAGATGTTTCAGTTAGTTCTTTCATCAGGTTGCTTAAATCTGTTGTGTCTTTACTGGCATCCATTAGCATATACTGGTCCCCCAAGGAAGCGCAAAGGGCAGTGATAATCTGAAGAAAAAAAATCTGTTCATTTGAGCTAACAAGTACTAAGATGATCTGTTGTTGCAGTGTCTTTAATGGATCTGTCGTCCTGTTGTCCTCTGTTCCCTCACGTCTCCCTCTCCTCAGAGATCATGTAAAGGAAATATCTGAAGTAATAAACTGTACCATCAAGAAATTCTTGGTCTTTCTGCTTGCTCTTGCATTTGGTTAAAAGGTGAGTATCTTTTGTGTGCGGTCTGCTTTGTATTACAGATGGCTCAATCAGATCAGTATCAGTCCAAACAAAGCAGGATCGAACATTGGAAACTATAGCTCGTCTGATCTGATACTGAAGCCCAAATGCCCAAATGAAGTTTGCACCACATGCCCCGGGGGAGATGGTGGGGGTATCAGTATCACACACATACATACTAAATGTTAGTTAAAAAATCCTAGTGTGCTTCTTCTAATGCATGACCTTCTAAAAGATTGTCACAGCGTTATTACTCGTATGTAGATGATTTTTGGCCTAAGTTTATCAATATGTTTAAATGTGAAAGACATCATTTTGGTTGTCAGTGTGTTTGTGCCCAGCTCTAATCCAAGTCCTGCCTTTGACTATACCATATCACTGTAATTATCACTGCCAATGGATCTGTATGTACAGTGTTTGCTTTAAATAACACGTGCGCACACATTTGACTCAGTGTTTATTCTAGGTGCCTTGTCAATGAGCCAGCAGACATATTAGGGAGGGGGGTGAGAGAGAGAGAGAGAGAGAGATTACCCAGCACTCCTCTCTCTGTAGTCTCTCAGCTCTCACTGTGTTTCTGCTCTCTTCCTGTTGCCTGGCAACATGGCACAGCCACTCTCCTTTCTGGGATTGATCAACAGCACTTCTACCCACAATTCCTTGCTGGCAAGTAAATAAAAAGAAAGACATATTTAATGTTGTCATCTTTAAGACCAGTACTCCTTCCCTCCCCATGTGCCTCGTTCCCTGTTTCTTCCAAAAACATTCATATTAATATTAATTTTTCACTCTAATTCACAATAGGTGTGACGGTGAACGTGAATGGTCGCACATCTCTTTACTGTGATGGACTGGTGAAGTGGGTGTACCCTGTCTTGGACGAGAACCTCACTTAGTACATTGTAAGGAATCTTCAAATTTGAAATAACATGTACTTAGCAGAAATATGAAAAAAGAAACATGGACTGGTAATGATCCCGAAACACAAGTTTTCATTGCCTCATACAATTTATTCAAGTGCCATGATTGGCCCCCATTATGTCAGATCTTGGACACAACCTGTTATCAGTAGAAGGCAGAGGTCAGCAGATGTCAGGTTTGTGTTCCCATGGTAAAACACTGTTTTGTTTGAAGGTCCTTGTGTATTTGTTCAATGACAAAGAAAACACAGTGTTACGTGGTCTCTGTGTGTCAGCGTTGCTACTGCTCTAACAGTTTGTCAAAAAAAAAAAAACCCAAAACATGTATTTTGTGGAATCTGAAGAGTTGATTGAAACACTACAGTAATGGAAAAGGATACTTGAATCATTTCTTGTTTTCAGTTATGGATACTCTGGATGATGCAGCGTGCAGGGAGTTAACACAACAGAATATGAGGGTTACATGAAATCTCAGCAGTAAGCTGATGTATTTCTACGTACAGTATAGCACAAGGCTTCCCCCCAAGTTCAGTTATTTTCAATCAGTTCTGTAGGTTGAAGACAGGACTGCATGAAAGAACAGCCGTGTTTACAAAGAATCTCCTTTTGTCCAGCACCTGCTGCTGCGCCTGTTAACTGTCTGTTAACTGTCTGTTAACTGTCTGCTTCTGCAGTCAACCGTGAAAAAGCAGTTTTCCTATACAAGAACAATGAATGTGAGTCATCGCTCCAAATCAGAAGCTCAGGTCGCTAAGCAGCCCCCTCTGGTGGCCAGAGTGTTACAAACGTTTACAGGTAAGGCAAAGACAGGGTTAAAATGACACAGCAGAAAAACAGATTAAAAAACCGTTAAAAAAAGTGAGGATTGTACGTTTCTGGGAGATAAGGATAGAAATCTAAAAAAAAAGTAGATGTTTTTGTTGATTGGCATGGTTTTATAGGTTCTGGGAAAAACAGCTTTGAACTTATTCACTGACGTCATTACTTAAAAAAAGATTAAATCTCTTCTGTTGTCAAGCAAAATAAAATCGGAAGTAACACACGCCATCTGGTGGTCAAAAACAAGCTTTGCAGTTGTAAGAATACGATCATTGGGTGGGTCCGCGGTAAATACCAGTAAAATGTCAAATTGTCTCAAATGGTCAAACGTCAGGGGTTTTCATGTGCTGTTAGATTTATTGTGTTCTCACTGATTGTTTGCAGGTGTGCGGTTGACTGGTGAGGTTGTGTGTGACACATTTTAAGTAGAGCCTGCATGCAGATCGGTCGTCCGAGTGATGCAGGCGGCATAGGAGGCCGAACTCTGCCCCCTGCTGGGGACGACCTGTCTTAAGCACTCCGAGCCAGACGACCAATTACGGTACTATTGTTAGCTCGCCTTAAGTTTAATGGTGGTTTCCTGAGCATTTAGTACTGTGGAAGACAGTCTCCACATAGTACAGGCTGACTATTTTCCCAAACTTGGACGTTATAATGAGGGACTGAGCTTCAAAGAGGTAAACTCTGTTAATGTAATTAACTGTTTGTCAAGTTCCGATTTTCAATAGCCTAATTAGCTTCACGGCAGGTTTCATAGTCTATTGATTTTACACACCGATATATATTCATTGCCTCATTGTTTTAAGTGTTTCAAGTGCTCATGACCTACTGCCTCTTCAAATCTTAGTCCCATTAGCGGCAGCTCCAGTCTCTGACCAAACACTGCTACTGTCTGCCAGCTGTCATGGCAGCTTAGCTGACCTCCTCTTTCACAGAGGCTCAGCTTGTCTAACTCCTTAGTTGTCAGTAAATAGTTGTCAGGTTGGGTCAACAAAGGGTCAGCCACATTTGGCTAAAAGCTAACCATGTAGAATGCTAACAAAGAGGTAGCAAAAAAGATGACCATGAAGAATATCTGCTAGTACGTGTCACATGAATACTTGAAGTACTTAACCTGGAGTACTTAAGTATCTAAAGTCAAACTATGTACACATCACTGGGACTTTTTATAGGATCATACATGTACTGTATAGCCAGTTCTAAAACCCAATTTATTAAAAATTCCTTTTGCAGATAATGTTGAAATTTTAGGAAATTTTTAGGTTTTTCGCTGTCACTTTGTGTACGTTTGTGTCTGGATTCTGGCAGTCCAGTGGGAGACTGTAAGACGATGTGTATATTGTAGTGTATATTCCCAGCTGTTAGCTGTTATTAACAAACTAAGCTGAAAACAGAACACAAAAAAGATCAGCAGCACAATTGGTTTGTTTGTACTTTTTTTTCATTCTTTTTGTGTAAAAATGAAATGCCTTACAGACAAGATTTCACCACTGAGACATAAACACACTGTAGAGCAGCAAAATAATACAGACACCACACCATCTCAGAGATCGTTCACACGTGCCAGTGTCCGAATTAATACACTAAAGATTTTAGAATCAAGAGAACAGGGCAGAAAATAATACTGAGGGATGAAGCTAAGCTAAGTAAATCTAAGTTGTTTTTCCAACTACATCTTTATTTTTATTTTTTTACAAAATGACAATAAGCTCTGCATTAGAAGTCCAGAACTAGTGATAGCTACCTAAAATGTGTTGACTCTCCGTATGAACCAGGAGTTTTACCACTGCTGTTTACTACTTCCTCTAAGTTGTTTCATCCATCAGGTTTAACTAGTGCCTTCCAGTGTTACATCAAGAGTTGACAGGGTCTACACATTCATTTGCAAAGCACTTTTCCTGGTGCTGGTGTGATTGGAATGTTCTTGTTGTAGTTCCTCTAGCTCTGACATCTACAGCCAGACTCTTAATATACTGTCAGTAAAACCAGGCCTGTGTGTATTCAACCCAGAGTAGGATCTGGACATTTGACAAACATTCTCGCCTTGTTTTCTCTGCCTACATGGATCTGGGTCACTGGGGCAGCAGTCTCAACAGGGAAGCCCAGACCTCTTTTTTGTTGCTTCTACTTCTGAACTTCCAAAAGGAGAGCATTGGGGAGTCATGTTGATCCTGTCATTACCAAACTAAGTGAAGTAGGAGGTTGATTACTTTACTTTGAGCCACACCTAGAAAATGCCACCCTACTTTGTTAAAAGAAGTTTTAGCTATTCAGGTTCTTTGGCCCTGTTTGTCTTATGGAATGTCAACTAGTCCCACATTTCTGTGGACTCAAAAGTCATGACTGTACCGTACGTGATGAGGATAAGTATGTGAGCACGATGTGGATGTGCATGTAAACCTTGCCTTCCTGTTAACTCTTCCTTCACTCTAAGTGAATTGCTACAGGGCTCTACACTGCAGATGCAGCTCCCACCCATGTTACTCCATATCTCCATTAAAGTGCACTATTCTCTGCCCTATGACTCTGTGCATCGTCATCAGGTCATTCTGAGCTGAGTCCGTCGGCCTTTTCAGACGGAGCTCTCTGGGTTTTCAGTCCCTCCCGTAATGGCTGCCTCGCTTCCTCCTCCCTCTGTGTCTGCTTAGTCACATCTACACTCTGTGTGTCACAGTTGTCTGGAATGTTCTGGAGCGCTGTGCTGCTGAGCAGCGACTGTGTGTCTACAGCTAGTGATTTCTGGAGACCGGGGAACGTTCTACAGTGGAGTTCTGTATTTATTTCAGACTCTAGTGCCACCTCTACTGTGGGTAGAGTGGGGGCGCTGTCACTCAGAAATGCAGGTGTGTCAGATTGATAGTGCTGTGTGGTGGCAGTATTGTGGAATGGAGGACTAAGGCGAGCAAGCATTGAGGGGAGAGGGACCAGATAGGGTTGTGGACCTGTATGTAGTGAGCAATCCCAGTCCTGGTCGTCTTCTTCGTCCTCTTCCTCCTCTTCCTCCTCATCATCTTCTTCTTCCTCTTCTTCTTCTTCATCTCCTTCAATTGTCTCCAAGCTGTGTGTGCTGCAGTCTGACAACCCACTACACACACTGCTACCATCCTCATCCTCCTCATATGCTTCATCATCATCTTCATCCTCCTCTTCCTCCTCTTCATCCAGATGTGACTCTGTGTTGCCGATGTTCTGGAGGTGCATGATGGGAAAGTGTGGTGGAATTTCCAGGTTTTGCTTCTGCTTCTGCTGCTGCTCCAGTGAGGTGGAGAAAGAGGAGTCTCCGTGGTAACTGTTGCCATTGGTTACAAGCTGCCGCTGCTGCTCCTCAGACCGATGCTGTTGCTCCTCACGGCCCTTCTCCAGCTCCAGCTTCATGATTGTATGCAGGAAGTGTGTTCGCACCCGTACCGGGTTAAACTCCAAACGTCCTGTGGTGTTGCTGCAGCCTTCTTTGGTACAGCCACAGGGAAAAGACAAGCGGTCCACCTGAGCACAGGAGGAGAACAGTTACCACTGCTGTTTATAATGTAGAAAAGCTATTTGGTTCATTCCCAGGACAGTTTTTATCTTTTTATTGTTACCATTGGTTACTTAAACTTTTTGTCTCCTATGATGAATTTTTGCTAATTTCCATATATATACATATATATATATATATATATATATATATATATATATATATATATACTGTACATATGTATATGTATATATACATATACACTGAGTTCATTTGCCTGACTTCTAAGTGACTACATTTTGCAGGAAGCTACTTTTAAATCTGCTACAGTTTACAATAATCCACATGAGGGAAAATCCATTTATGTAAGTCAGTGCAGGACATGAGCACCATTCAGTTTTAAGGAAGAACCAACCACAGTTGTACTCACCTGGCACTTAATACCGGCCAAGCTACAGGCACATGTTTCTGGATCACAAATCCCTCGGCATCTACATCCACACTCCTCTCTCGACATTCGAAGGGCACGCAGCTCGTGTTTTTCCTCCACATCAATGCGGCGCACCCCGGAAGCACGCAGGAGAGCGCGGCGTTTACTGGTGGTCAGAGGCTGGAGAAAGAAGTAGTCGCCAACCTCTGCATTGTCCACGTCCAAATCGTCTTCTGAGATGTCATCCAGTGTGAGTGTTTCAGCCTCAACAGATGAAACAGTGCCATTTTTTGTCAACTGGACAAAGAGAAAAGGCAACTTCATTAGATACCACTTTGAACTTTTTATTACTAATAGTGCTTCATGGAGTTTTTCTTTAGGTTACATTCCATCTCTTATCCAATCTATGTATCTATCCATCCATCCATCCATCCATCCATCTCTCACCATGACTAAGAGTCTTAATTGTGGTACTGACTTTGAGTCTCAGGGTGTTGAGTTTCTCCTCCTTCAGATGCTCCTTCAACATGTTGTGGTGCTTTCTCTTCTGCTCCAGTGCAAACTCCCTGAGGGTGAACCGCCTCACACTGCTGTGACGAGGCAGCATCCCCAGGGTGCTTCCACCCTGCGTAGGCACGCTGGTGAAACCCTGCCACCGATTGAAGTAGTAGACCGTCACACTCTCAAAGTGGACATTTCGGCCTCGAAGTCTTTTTGACTGCTGCGGAAGAGATCCTGAAGTAGATATGGAAAGTCAGAGGAAGACAGTACATTAGAAACTGCTGATATGTTGCACTCTGTACATAGGATAGAGATCTCCTGTAGTGTTCAACATATACAAAGTACTCCTCCTGAGAAACTGTATATATCTTATGTGTAACAGCTGGTAGTTTTTAAACAGTTATAATAATAGCTCATGGTTTACTGTGTGTCTGTTAGTGATGCAAATACACAACAGAAAGGGTCTAAATTGTCTGTTTACATCAGACAAATCCGTTTATAATTTGAACTCCAGATAGTAGCATCCCAGTTCTTGATGTGGTCTTACCATCTGGGCATCCAGACAAACCAGGATGGTACAGGCTGTCACTGCTGTTGCCGCTGTCGCTGCAGGAAACCTCATCGTTTTCAGGGCCCTGTAGGGGGCGGCAAGATCCAGGGCCCTCCTCCAGCTTCCTTTTCAGAATCCCACTCATCATGAGGTTCCACTTAAACCTCACACTTGTGCAAAGGGTGAAGAGATTAAGCTACACAGTAGAGTACTGTCACAACAACAATGGCAAACCATTGGACAAGCTAGAAAACGATTGATATGACTATGATAGCTACTACTAGCTAAACCTAAACACCAATCATTTAGACAGGATTAAAAAAAAAGTTGAAATTGGTTAACAATGAGACACATAAACTAAATATTACCTATCTATCTAATTTAGTTTGATAGGTTTTTCTTTTCTCAAAATATATTTTCTTTCTGTTGCTCTCTCCAGGGGTCACCAGAGTGGATCTTCTGCCTAATCTCAGTTCCCATGTCTTCTTTTCCTACAACCGTGAGTCTTCTCTGGAGTCTAGCTGTCTTCCCTCTGGCAGCTCCAACACCTAGTATTCTGGAACATTACCGTACACAGGTACTTCTCACACATCTGCCTTCACTGCTACTAGTCTTTGGAGCTGCTCTAACTGTACCACCCTCCTTCACACAAAAGAAATCTGGTCACTGTCATTCCTCTCT